TATTCCTATGCATATGTATGGGTTGACTTTAAGCACGATACGATCGTCTCGCTCGCTTTGGTCGCTTGATTAACATTGTTAATTATTTGGTATGATTACATATAGGTTAGTATAATGGTTAGTATGGGCTTGTTATATAGAACCGAAGACTGAATAGGACTCGAATACAGCTACATCTATATGCTCGATACCTTTCCTTGGACCATCCATCTTATTAATTCTTGATATTTCCTTATCCGTTCCACACGCGATCTTCATGTGTGTGTGTGTTGCTTTTCCTGTATTTATTGTCAACTTATCATTATTACAAACATATATTTGAACTGCTCGCAGTGCACTCAACTGATACAAATCGAGTCCACTGGGAGCATGCCAAATCAAATTATTATACGATGAGAACACGAAAGAAAACCAAATACCGAATGTTGAGGCTGGAGTGCTTTGGCGGTGTTTGCGCTCAAGGAAAATATCTACAGAAACTCGCTGAATACTTGAACTGAACCACCAAATCGTTCAACTGGCACTCAGCAATTGCTTAGTTCGAGTCCGAGTCCGAGTCACTGGGTGGCACCGGTGAGGCTGCCGGCTTCGCGGCCACAATGGCGGGCTCCTCGCGTATGGGTCGCGTTGCCGCCAAATACGCATTCGTGGACTCGCCGTGCGTGGTCTCGATGCCAACTCTAAAGGGTGAGAAAGAGAGAGAAAGACAAAGAGAGAGAGAAGGATAAAAAATGAGATCACAATAACTAGTGGGTCGGCAGTAGAGATGGACACAGAGGCACGAGCACGAAATATTTCCTAATACAAAGTAGTCTGTACCTTTCAGCCCATATAATATTTTGGTATTGGATATAAAAAGCATAAACATGGACATGGACATAAAACCCCAGGTATAGGAGTGAGATTAGCTGGTATACTCAGTTATTGCCCAATAATTAGCTTAGGAATTGCTCGTGCCTTATCGTGCTTATAAAAAGCAAGGTCCGCACCAATCTCTAGTCAGCAGCTCGTCTGGTACTTACTTGTACTCATGCCGTGCTAGGTAGCGGACGTACTTTTCCGGCGGCTCATCAGCATCCGAGTCCTGCACGCTCACAGAGCGCACGGTGGTATGCGAGACCTGCGTGGCGGGCATTGTAAATTCCACGAATGCGTATGGCGCCAGTTCGCTGGGTATTTGGTCATACGATGTGAGTGCCATGCGGCAGACCAGCTGATGTGTGGTATAGGCGCCTGTCAAAAGTTTAAGTGCTGAGCATGAACAGGAACTGGGGCTAATTGGTGGTCCACTACTTACCCTGACCTTCCTTGGGCAGACGCGGACAGCGCCAAACAATGGCGCGATGCTGATGCTCGTACTTGGCCTGGCCGGAGGTCACCTCGATGAGCGACTCCTGGAGCGTGTCCACGGCGCCCAAAATGCGCTCAATGCCCTTGATCTTACCAGTGCGTCGATGTGCCGACTTCACGGAGCCGTATCTGTGAAAGCATAGGTTAGAGATGAGCTACAATCGCTTGCGCGCAGATCACGGACGTACCTGAAGTGCTTCTCGACGCGGAACAGATAAATCCAGCACTCGGGTATGGGGAAACGCACTGAGACATCCTCGCAGGGTATCTGGCCCAGCTTACGCGAGGTAAAGCCTGGTACAAGTATGTCGGCGCGCAGTTCCACCTTGTTGCCGGTAACGCACCAGGTGGCCTTCAGCTGCAGCGGAAGCTCACGATTCTTGGGCGGACGCACACGGAAGCGCAGCAGTTCAATGTAGTTGGCATCTGGCGGCTGGAACCTACAGGAACAAAGGACTTAGACAACGTGGTAACAACCGTCAACCATCTAGACACATACTTGATGGTGCGTGTGCGCTCGTACTCCTGCTGATTGACAACGCTATGGAATTCGACAGCCTCCAGACGTATCCATTCCTCGGTGGCCACGGGTATGATGTCATGTCGGCCAACCACCTCCTTGCCCTGGCGCCACATATCGTTGACGCCCAGCTCAATTGTGGGCATGCCCGTGAGAAAGGCGAGAAAGAAAAGGCGCACGCGCGCTATCTGCTTTAGTATCTTGCCCTCGTAGTCCTGCTCGACTGTGATCTCATCGACTGCCGTCACCTGCACTTCTTCCATTTTGTAGGTGAGCGCGCGTTCGCGCAGTGCTGGCAGCTTGAAAAGGGCTTCTTCAATGCAAACGGAGAACTGTTTCATATCCTCGTAGTTCATGGAGCCGATCTTGAAGAGCTGCGATGATTGCGGCGCATGCTCAACAGGCAGGCCGAGCTTCTTAAGATCGCTGCCAAACTCCTTGACGCCCTCATAGTCGCCAGCGATGGCATATTGTGCGAACTTGGTCAGCTTGTTGGTAATGCGCTCTGCTTTGGTCACCTGGCCGGGTCGGACGCCGGGCCGCTCTTTGTAGAATATATATTGGAGCTTCATGGTGAATATCTTGCCGAACTGATCGTACTGCTGGGCGCCAATCTCGGACACCGAATAGGAGGGCTGCAGCGGCAACTCCTGGAATGGCTGTTTGTCGCCGGCCTGGTTGAGCAGCTGGACCACCGGCACATCGTTCTGCACCACCAGTCGCACAAAAATCTTCTTCCAGAAACGCTGACCCGTGATTTTCTTCTTGTTGGGCTGACGCAGCTGCATCTCCCAGCCGGGGCCAACGTAATTCAGCCGCGGGAATTCTTCCAGCGGCTGCGACACATCCTCGTCAAACAGAGGCGTCTGTGGCGTATCCTGCGAGTCTGTGCGCTTTATGCTACCCTCCGCGGCCGACGGTGCCGGGAAACCAGTAACATCATCGAATGGATTCACTGTCGCCGCTGGTGGCGATATGGTTGTCGGATCGGCTGTTGCCTGCACCACTGTTCGCGCCGGTGGCGGCGGTGGCGCCAGCTGCGGTGCCACACCAGACGCGCCCTCCGCCTTGGGTCTGATGACTACGCTGAACTCCTTGTCCACGGACTCCACGGAGTCGGCACGAACTGGCGCCTGCATGGCATAGAAATCGTCATCCTCATTGCCGAAACCATCGTCCGCCGAGTTGACCTCGCCAAAGGCATTCGCCGTTGTCGTTGACGAACCAAAGGCGCTGTCTCCCCAAGCTGCAAGAGACAATAAATCAATGGAGTCCCATAAGCCATGGACTGGGTGGTACGATTACTTACCATCACCACCCGTGGGGGTTATGGCGCCCGATCCACCTCCAAAGCCGTCGAGTATGCTGATGTTGTCTTTTTTCACCGAGTCAAATTTGGCCGAGAATGCATCGAACTCATCCGGTTCTGCTGCAAAGATGTTGCTCACATAGCTGACAGCTGGTGGCGGAACTGGTGGCACAGCGCGGGGCTGTACCTCTGGCGGCATTTCCACTTCGGGCTCGTCCACAGCAAAGATGTTGCTTACAATCGGCACCGGCCTAAAGCTCGGGTCGTCCTCCTCCTCGGGGCTGGCAAAGGGATTGGCGGACAACTGGCCGCTGGCCAGGCCAGGAAAGTCCAGACCAGTGTCCATTTGCTCCGGCTCATCGCTGCCCAGCACTAAGTTGGACTCGTGTACAATCTGTGCGGTGGCCGCCGACTCCGTAGGTGGGCTTTGGTCCGACTCTATGGCAATTGGTTGTTCGGACTCCGGTTCCTGTTCTGGCTGTTGCTTTACGGCCTCCTGTTTCGGCTCCGGCTCCGGCTCTTGTTCCGGCTTCAGGTCCTGCTCGGTTTCCGGTTTCGGCTCGGGCTCGGGCTCGGGCTCGTCTTGTGGCGGCGGCTGCTGCTGTGCAACTGGCGTTGGTGTCGGCTCCTCCTCGTCATCGGAGCGCGGCAAATCCTCTACCGTAGTAATCTCAATATCCGGCGTAGGCGCCCGCTGCCGTTGCAGTGATTCCTGAGAAGCCGCTATGAGCGTGGCCACAGTGGCCGGCTGTGGCTGTGAGCTAATGTCATGGGTGCTGTCATCGGGCCGAATTAGTAGCGAGGTGAAAATGGGCTCACCGCCCGCCTGCGACTCGGGTAGATCATCGTTGAGCAAATCTGGTTTGGCAGCTACCGCTGGTGCCACAGCTGGCTGCTCAAACAGACTAAGTATATCCTCCTTGGTCTTTGGCGGCGGTGGCTTTGCCGGCTTGCTGCTGCAACCAAACATGTCTAGCAGATCATCCGCATCGGCAGCGGCGGGAGCCGGCTGCGCAGATGGGGGCGGTGGACGTTGCGGCGGCGCTGGCTGTTGCTGTCCATGCCCCTGTATGTGAGCTGGCGGCGTTGGGCGTGGTGGCACCGGGCGCGGTGGTGGTGGGCGCGGTGGCTGCTGCTTGGCCGGTGAAGGCATGGGCGTCATGCCCTGCAGACTGGGCACCGCCGTTGGCACGCCAAAGGGATTGTCGAGAGGCGACGGAGCTGCTGGAGCCCCAATGCTGCCGCCCATGAGATCCGCCTCAATGGCTTGGTTATGTGCACTGGAGCCACTGTCCGACACATCCACATCGAGCAGGTCGGCCAGCCCAGAGTCGGGCGTAGGGCTGGGAGAGTGCAGGTCGCGCATGGACACGGGACTTGGTGAGCGGGTGGCCGGTATGCGGCCCAAGAGTTCCGAGCTTGTCTCGTCCAATTGACTGGAGACGGTGTGTATTAGCTCCTGCGTGCTTTGCGGTGGCTGTGGACGTGGTGGTGGCGCAGCCGCCTTCTTCCCCTCATCGTCCTCCTCGGCGGCTGACTTAAGACTAAGCGCATCGTCCTCGGCCTCGATGGTGGTGCCAAAGAAGCTCATGGCTGCATCGATGTCAGCAATAGGCTCTGCCTCCGTTTCCAGCTCATCCCCACCAAAAGCGAACGGATTGGACGCAGCCTCGCCGAATGGGTTCTCCGACTCGCCCGCCTCTGGTTCGGCTTGCACTAAAAACGGATTCACGGCCACATCGCCACTATCCAGGTCGTCGTCCATCAAAAACGGATTGGCCATCTTTTCGGTTTTTTCTTTGAGTTGTTTGTGTTTCCAGACTTTGCTTAGCGCTCGATGAGCTCGCTCTCCAGGAGCTTGATTTCTGTTTCGCCTGGCGCTAGATTTTCCGCTATGGATGTGTCGAAAGGATCAATATCCTGTTGCTGCTCTAGCAGCTCCTGTGTTGTGCGGTTGGGCAGCGACGGCGTCAGCACCTTATCGCCCAGTCCCAGCTCCTGTGCGTCACTCTGAGTATCGAGAACTCCGGTGATGGGCTGCTTGGCGCTATCGGGCAGTAGCTCGTTCTCGAGCAGCTTTAGTTCCGTTTGTCCTGGCTGTAAATTGGCTGCGATTGAGGTATCGAATGGATCAAGATCCAGGTCCTCGTCCAGCTGCACGTTGCTTGGCAGCCGCCTGCGCTCCTGAGCGGGCGTCAATACCTTGATATTGATATTCTCCTCGACGGCCAGCAGAACCTCTGCTGGCACGGGTGTGGGCGGTGCGCGCGGATCAAAGTCTGGATCGGATAAGCTGTGCTTCAATGTTGGTTCTGTAATTAGATCGGCCTCAATATGCTTCAGCTCAATGTCACTAAGCTTGGCCTCGGGCACATACGACGTGTCAAACGGATCCTCCGACTCGCGCTCGGCAATGGGCTGGGCGGCAGGCGCGTAGTAGGGTGTCAGTGGCTTCTTATTGGCACCAAGGCAACCGTCATTACCAGCGGCTAGCAAATCCTGCGAGGGCACTAAAAAGCCCACGCTTTTGCCCTGTATATTAAGGCTTAGCGACGATTTGCGACGGGCACAGTCGAATTCCTGCTCCGGGGCGGAAATCTGTGCTACTTGCACTGGCGCCGCGACGATCTCCGGCTGGCCTGCGCGCGGATCAAAGTCCGGATCGCTCAGCGAGTGCTTTAGGCTTGAGCCGGTTTCGTTAAGCAGTTCACGCTCCAGAAATCGCAGCTCTGTGGCCTTTGGCTGAACGAGTGCGTTGATGGCCGATGTATCGAAGGGATCAAAGTCCTGCTCCTGCTGGTCGACGCTTAGCGTGGGCGCAAGTGGCGCAGGCACAACCTTGCTCAGATCGGTTGCACTGCCAGCCAAAAGGTCACGATCTGGTGCCGCTAGTGAATTCGAATCGGCAGCTGGCTCCTCGGCACGCGGATCGAAATCGTCGTCCTGTTCGAGTACAGTTGTCTTTTTGATCACCTGTTCCGCGTAGTAAGTGTTAAACGGATCGTCGTCTAGATTGGCGTCGTCCTCGTCGTCGCTAACGTAGATAGCACCGGGCACAATGTGCGGTCCAGTGGAAGGACGACCGGGTGGTGGTGGACGTTTCGGCTTACCTGCAATGATATGAGCTTAGATAAATATAATTTTGAATAAGGATAAGAGGAACGTTTCATTTGTGAAGGATTCTCTGTCTGCACGTTATCGATTTAGTAATCCAAAGGAGATTCTGTGCCGCCTATGCTCAAGAATTTTAACGCTTACCTGATTGTTGCTCTTCAGGCTCGGGTTCAAACTCTGCCCAACTGGCTTCTGCCGCGGCTTCGGCGAGTAGCTCCGCAGGCGGCAGCAGAACCTGATTAACTATGGTAACCTCCTCCTTTTTGGTTAGAGATTCTGCTGCTAGTTCTGCAAACTCGTCGTCCTCCTCGTCTTTGAGTGCATCAAACTCGGCTAGATCAGGATTGAGCTGGCCAAGTCCCTCGTCGCCCTCCTCGTCGTCCTCGTCGACTCTTTGGGGCTTTATCAAATGCAAGTGCAGCGAAACGCTCAAGTCAATGGGCCCTACACATTCGGGCGCGTCATCGACGAGATCGTCGAGTAGATTATGCTGGGGCTCGGGAGCTAAGAGATCCGCTTCGGGATCGGCTAGCTCAACGCTTTCGCTGAGCAGTAGATTCTGTATGCCCTTGCGTAGCTTCCGCTTGGGATTGGCTAAGGCGAGCGCGTGTTCGCGATCGACGCGGCCAGAGAGCACCTCAACGGCGGCGCCGAGACTGACGAGTTTCTTGTTGCCCTTGGCCTTGTCGGCGCCAACAATGACCTTCTCCGCGTAAGCGGTATCAAAGGGATCGGGTCCGTCGTCTATATCAAGCACGGGCGAATCGGGCACGGCAGTTAGTTGCAGTTCACCGCTGGTAATTGCCTCGATGTAGTCAGTGGCAAAGATGTCATCGACCTCGTCCTGCTGGTCGTCCTCCGAGTCGGAAAGTTGGACAACGGCCTCCGCTAATTTGTCGCGGTTCGCCTCGCGCTCGGCGGCTAGTTGACGTTCGCGTTCGAGTCTTGCCGCCTCACGTCGTGCGGCCTCCTCTTCCTCCTGCTTCTTCTTTTCGGCTGCCGAGGGCAGGCGTTGGTAAAAGGATTCCTTCTTGATGCGATCAAGCTCGTCCTGTGTCTTGTGTAATATAGTATCGACACCTGAGGTTAGCGCCTTAAACTTGGCCCATTCTTCGTCGCCAGCGTCAGCGGTCTGCTGCTGCTGCTGCAGCTGCTGCTGCTCGTGGGCAGTGCCTGTTGCCGCAAAGGCTGATGTGGCTGCCGAAACGGCTGATCGACTGGATGTGGCTGCTGCGCCCTCGACGTCCGATGCTGCGTCCGATTCGCCAGCGTCTGATTTGTTGGCGGCAGCCTCCTGTTTGGCTTTGAGCTCACGCTTGTACTGCTCGAGCTCCTCTTCGGTGAAGAGTTCTTGGTCCTTTTTCGACTTCTTCTTTTTCTTTTTTAAGCCTTTTGGTAACTTAAGCATTATCTAATTGCGGAGACATCGAGATCGGTCTGCAAATACAAATGCACACACACACGGGCACACATACAAACATCTAGTACAAAATTCTGTATACGCACATACATACATACGTCCATATAAATGCATGCGTGTATGTGGATCTAACTGAAACGGGGTCTACAGGGCGAGGAGGACTGACGCGGGCATTATGTAAGCTACGAATCATATATACAGTGAACGAATAAAACGGATGTAGCATCCCATCTCGGGTAGAGTATTCAAACTACGCAAAAACTCAAGGAAGCTTTTTGTTTAAGACTCATTACTTTTGGGTATACAAATGTACGCATTCAAATCTACTGTATATGTATATATATACATATATATATATCGATGTATTGAATGAGTAATAGGCATTTTGCTATTAGGCAATGGGTTAGACACGAAGGCACTCACCGCCGCACCGTTGACCCCTCGCAATGTCCAGAATATTTGCCGAAATACTTAACGAAAACCTTTCGACGCTTTTCCTGGTGTTATCGTGCGTTTTCATTAAACATTTGATATGTGTATATTTAATTTGCTTGTCTCAATTGGCTTTCCACTGCGAATGTTGCATGGAAAAATTCAAACACTCTTTAGACACACACACACACACATATATACACATACAGGCGGACACTCTCCGAGCAGCGGATTGACACAATTGTGTACCTACTCATGAACTTGCCACTTGGTAGAGCTTTTTCACCACACCACAATTCACCACAGCGGCTACAACAAACACACCAACAGCAACAACAATATTACAGCTTTATCCTACACTGGGCAAAACGACAGTAGTCCATGGTCAATTGGTAATGAAAACGAAATTGAACACCTGCGCCGCCTCGCAGCATGCAACATAAATTATCTGAGTGTCATTTATATCATTTATCTTATCTAAAATACCGCCCGAACATTAGATGATGCCTTCGATATAAGAAAATGTATGTTTTACTTCGAAATTCACGATTTTTTGTACAAAACTTAATTGCTCCCATTTATTATCCATTTTCCAAAGGGAAAATCATCATGAAAGCGTTTAATAACTAATCGGGTGAAACTAAATTAAATAAATTATATTTATGTTTTAATATACATATATATTATCCCAAATGTGAATCGATTGAATAGACTTCTGAGCAGCCGAAGTTTATATCAGATTGTCAGATTTATATTTTAACGAAAATATTTTAAAATTGTGATAACTGTTTTTTAACTGACAAACTGACTTCCACACATAAAACTAAAACGAAATCCTATCTTAAAATATATCCACCAATAAAGAAAATCAAAAAAGCTCTGCAGCCTGATGAAGCAAGCATTTCACTAACCAATACACTCTCTGCTCTGATCTTGAAAGTGCGATAGCTTTCACTGCATCTGAGAAACACTTTCTTCAAGTGTAATCTTCAAGGGTGTATAGAAACAAATAGATTTCAGGGCTAATTGTCAACATTCGTTTAATGGAAACTGTCGAGCACAAAGGCAATAGCATTCAATATATTACGAAATACGCAAAAGGTGCTCAGGCCACTTGGTTACATGCGTCAAAGGGGGGCAGCTACACAAAATAAGAGTACGGAAAAAAAGGACAAACGTCAATGAAAATGGGGGGCAGTAGTACCTTTTTCTTATGCTTGTTGTTCTTGCTGTTGCTGCTGTTGTTGCTGTTGCTGTTGTGTTGTTGGCGTTTTTGTTAAAGCTCGGAAAAATCGATGGTTCTGAGGCGCACTCAGAGCGGAGGGCTGAAAAAAAGATATAGTATGTGGTACGCTGCTGCAGAAGGGAGGGAAGGGAAGAGAGCACTAGTACTGTCCAGAGCAGAACGCGCCTACGCACACACATCTCGCACACACACAATCACACACATAAATGTACGTGTTACACGTTTTTTTTTTTGCATCTTCTTTTTTTGTTCACATGTCAAACACGTTATGAAAAAGTTTTCCTTGGCTTTTCTCAGCGATTTTAGAGCACTCACAATTTCCAAAGAAAATCTTGACAATAAAAAATAAATTAAGGAAAATAATTGTAAATACACCATGCAAATTGGCTAGGTTTTTCCTCTCCGCTCGCTTCGTGTTTCTCTTTCGATTTGAAAATTATGCAACTTACGTCTCACTCTTGCGCACTTTTAAAGAACAATTAAAAAAAAAAGAACTATTTCTGAGCTCCAAATTGAGCAAATCAATTATTATTTAGATATTAATTGTGATTTTTGGGTATTGGTTCGGTTTTTGCTGGATTTTATTTATATAAATTTTGAATGGCTGTTTGCTCTGTTACCTCTGATTTGAACTATCGGGAAATCTAGCACAGAATGAATGGAAATGCCAAGAAAACTCATAGGAAATACTTTTTTGCCAAACGCAGCGGTATCCTTCAAAAGCTTTGCCGCAAAAAGCTGCGCGAATAGCGAGCACCAAAAACGTTTCACATATACATACACAGGAACACGTGCCCACACACACACACACACCCTCACACACGCACACACATGTACACAGCTGACGTCGTTGGTCCTGTGGGGAGCTCCTGATGTGCCAGAAAGCTGTGACGTGATAAGCCCGAAGGCATAAGCTTCTTAACAAAAACAACTTAAGCTTTCACGCTCGCAAAGCGAACGAGAGCGAGACAGAGAGGGTGAGTGAGAGAGAGAGAGCGAAAGCATGAGCGTGAGAATATGCGGGGGTTGCAGCAGAGACAACAACAAATCAAGTCCTGTCATTGTCATCGCTTTCATCGGTTTTGACACTTGACATTTGACTAGGCGCGTGCGCGTGACTCGTGACTGGTGACCCGTGATCTACTCGTGAGTCACGCAAAAGCAACAAAACCGCATTACGCAGCCCTGAGGCGGAAAAACAGCTTAAATTGAATTAATTCGAAAAGCTTCAACAAAGGAATCGAATATGTTTATGTAAGTGCTAATTGTTATTTATAGGTTAGTTTAATAGGTTCTACTTCAATCGAACCTGTTCGAAGCCGGAAATCCATTTAATTTTTTTATATTTTTAAACCAACAAATTGCCCAACAAATCCAAACCGAAGCAAATTATTTTCAGAAATGATTTTCTTAAATTTAAACAGCATTTGCGGAAGTTCCAGCTCCCAATCTGGATATATTTTATCATATTTAATCATATATTTAACAATATATATTTGTTTTCAGTGGGAGGAGCAGTTATAAATTTTGAAATTTAATTGCAGCAATTGCAATTTAACCAGCAATTCGAATCGAACCTAAGGGCAACGAGTTGGTTTGAGCCATAAGTCGAACTACAGACTGACTTAAAATCCTGATTATAAATCATATATATTCAGACTCAATAAACTGTATAGCTGAATAAAAATAAATAAATAGTATTACTATTATTAGCAAATATTTCAAATGATATATATTGTATTTCAGCAGGATGTGGATAATATTCAAGCCCAGTTGAAATATGAAAGCTTATTTGAATATGATCTTAATTTTATTTTATTGTATTTTCTTAATTTGCTTTATATGCAAGTAAATATTTGGATTAAAGGCAAGAACAAGTTATTAACTATTATTTGCTATACCTAACTACCAAAGTATATATACTATAGACTAAAGATGAGCTAAACTAATAACAGTCGAAGACATATTTAATTTATATATTTATCTATACCGTACAGGCAGAACTTTATGACGCACAGATATGAAAGATAGTGTTGTATCATAATCAACTGAGCTGGTTTACCCCACCGATAAGCAGGTATACAATGTCAGGTATAGTTTCATTAGGTACAAGTTTTTACAACCCCAAAAATAACAAAATATATACATATCTATATACATCCGCTTAAATAAAGCCTATCATTAATGTAGAAATAGTGATAAGGAACTATGCTTGTACATATGGAAAGTCAAGAGCTCGACGTGATAAGTAAACAAAGACAGCATTAACCAGTTGGAGAGAATTGTGTGTGCAATGGGCGTGTGAAGTACGCCTTTGACACGCAATTTAAAGCTAATGATATTATGACCATATATAGTATATACATATAACGAAACACCGAAATACCGTCCATTTGTTGCTCTATCCTCTATCATTATCTTATCATTTCGACTCGCTTGCACACATTGCTACACATATAGCTGCATTCCTTTCAGTCTCATGTGGCGGCTATTGCTGCGCTCCTCATAATCGTATGTGGGACGAGAGGCGACAACTGTTGAACCACCAGGCCTGTATATCGCCATAGATCTGCGTTCTGTGGGCCCAGCTGGGATGATGGAGCCGAGCGCACAGCTCACAGAAGGGCGAGCTGTTGGCTAGTTTGTAGTGCTGCCGCCACCAGAAGTAGCTCATGTATTCCTGCACATCGCTGGCAACAAAACGCAAATGCTCCGCCAGCTGCTCCACACTGTCGAAGCGGTCCGCATCGATGTACGAATGCGGCGGCAAAAATCGGGTGTAGTTGGCGCCGCCAAACACAACGGGCACAATGTGACGCTGCAGTGCAGAATATAGCTTCTCGGTTACATAGTCTATGCACAGCGAGTTCTCAAAGGCCAGGTAGAACATGAAATCCGTGTCCAGCATATCATCGCAGCGCGGATCACCCCGTGCGCAGCTGAACGAAGAATTGGATAAGCTTTATGACGGCATGGGATTCAGTTGAATACTCACTTGAGGTTGCCACAGCTGCCATAGATGTCCAATTGGATGTGTTGCTGCAGTGCAGCAGCCAGCTGCTCGCGCTTTGACAGCGTCTTGCAGTGGGAAACAAACCAAGCGGCCATTTTCGTCTTTTTTGGCCACAGACGCCACACGGTGCTATCATTCCAGCTGCCCAGTGCCGGCGGCTCACGCCAATGCGGCTGTAGACTGGGCGCCACTGGTGCTCCCGTTTCCACATCCAGCAGCTGGGCATAGGGCCAAACAATGTCCGAATCCAGCCGATAGGTCATTGTTAGATTATAGAAATTTAGCTCATCGCTTAGCTGGTGCTTAGTCTCGCCCGGTGACTCCATCAGTGCGAACACATACGCCTGATGTGGACTACGACGTGCGGGCAGCGGCTTAAGCAGCGGAAACGGTTGTGCCACGTGGAAAACGATCGCATCATAGAGCTCCAGGCTGGGCAGGAAGTCATGACGATTGCTCAGCTCACACTGGTAGACCGGACACTTGAGCTCATCCCGAAATTGTTGCGGTCCCAGCGCATCAAACGGCAGCTGCCAACGCCTATCCCCAAAGAAGCTGCTCCAGAGCAAAATGGAACGCGTGGCTGGCCGCGTGGCCGCCCTCTTCTCCAGATACTCACGCAATATGCCATTCTGATCCACAAGCGGTGAGGTGGTTATTTTGTAAATTAGCGCTCCAAACAGGAAGGCGCAGAGCAACAGCAGCGTTAGCGTGCGGCGCGTTTGCAGGCGCATTCTGCGGCCACGTTAGTTGGCCCAACAACCAGCCCGCTCGAACGGTCATCGGCAATTGCCATGGTCGTTAGATAGCATGCTCAGGCCCAAGTGCTCGCCCCACCAATTGATTAACAGCGATTAGTGGCCGTTCTCGCCTGCCTGCCTGTGTGCCTCTTTGGTGTCATGGCCTAATTGTGTTTGGCCTTATCGTGGTCGGGCAGCCTGACGCAGTCTACCTGTGAACGTGTTGACGATTAGGCATTATTGATTGCTGTGCCAACAATAAGCAAATGTACTCACATATTGGCCCAATGTGCCGGCTGAGTGATAGTTGATAAAAAGATTTATATGCGACATGGCGCTGATAGCTAGCTAGGCCGAGCCCCGATAGCAGATAAGCCCTGTGTGCAGCTGTCATCAAGACGGTAAACTAAAGTTACAAGCGAAATTTAGAAATTATATTGAAAAATATCTAGTAAACTCTTAGCCTATTGTCTTTTATTAATATCTATAATTAATGCGACCTCAGCAACCAACTGTGAAAAGTCCGACGGGATCAAGCAGCTGAGCTGACTGGGTGATCTCGGATCCGGGTGCATTGTCTAAGTAGCTAGAGCTATTTTAAAATAATATTAGGCTGATTGTTTGTAACTATATATTCTAAACTTGTGCGCTTAAGACTAGCTTATCTAATGGATATGTGGATAGATAGATATGTATCAGTATATACCTTAAATGTACTGCTGCCCTTTATCGGGGATCTCCATCGCAGCCCGATCCTTTGGATGACTCCCTCAAAAGGAAGTAGTCCAAAATTCATAGCTGCATATGTAAAACATGGCACTAATTAGGTTTTGAAACCAAATTCTTTAAATATATAGCTATAGCCTGTACATTCAAAAACAAGTACACTTAGATTTATACATTAGTTTTGCATTATTTATGTACAAAGTGTGCTCAAATCCTTATCAGCCGTTTGAGTTTAATAAATTATAGTTAATTGAACAAATAGCTTGGGCTCAAAAAGTACAATCTAGTAAATGCAAATATTTATTTTAACATATTAACTAAGTTTCACAGAAAATATTATATTATTTACTTGGCACTATTTCGCACCTTGTGCTGCGGGCTCATGGCTGGCCCAGTGAGTGCAGCGCCCGCATTGATCTCTTCAGCAGGTGCGAGAGCAGCACGAAAAGCGTAACGAATCCATAGACGAGACCCGTTTTTAAGAGCAGGAGCAGCGGCTTCATTTTGAATACAATGATTCCAAGTAAACGGAAAGGTCCCAATAAAAATGGATCTTAATTATTTGCGTAAAAACAGTTGCCGCAGCAATTCCATTAGCGGCTAGGCAGGAGCTTTTCACCTGTAACAGGTGCACCAAATGAAAAGGCAGCTGACTATGCATTAATAACAAGACAGTTGAGAATTTGAACACAAGGCTTTCTGTATCGCTTATATACATGTACATACCAATAGCATGTTATGCCGCATTTCTGTCAAATGACACGCCCGTGGAAAAGCGTGATTAATTTGGTTAGCCACGAATTCATTTAATTGAAGCGCAACCTTTTGACAACATTAGTTCATTACATTAATGGACTTCTGTCGTCCATATATTGCATTCATTTCAACCTTGTGAAAAAACATTTCACTGCAATTTGGAGAATTTTAAATTAGCTGCTAATGTTGGCCCGACCACTGGGCACAATGTCATATTCATATTGTTTTTTTTTCAAAAGTTTTAACAATGTATAATGCATATATAACTTAACTTTCTTGGAATGTAGGTAATTCTTGTTACTCGACTGTTCTTTTTCACTTTTATCATATTATGAAAAGTTACTTTTTGTTTCGCACATTTTGACAAATAATAATTCGTTAATTTAAGAAATATTTGCACAATCTGTGTACTTATAAATCTTACTAAATGTTAAACAAACATTTTTGGGTTTTAATTTAAAGCCCATTACTCAACTAGATTAATAGTTAAAATATATTTAGTACCTTTATAAAATGGTTTCATTTTAGTAAGCTCTCGAGGTTATTTATGTATAATATATTTGTATAATGTAACTAAAATACAACTAAATAACCCCAAATCAATTTTCTACAACGCCTGTTACAAAGTATTTAAGCTGTTTGTCTCGAACGGCAACCATTATGAAAAATCACGAGAACTTTGTGAATTTAATAGCGCCTGCAGATTATTCAACCTTCTTATCGCCACATACTTATAGAGATAAAGTACGCGCAGCCATAAGAAATTTACAAGTTCACAAGCTATTAATAGACTGTTGCATACAAAAAGATTTAATTAACAATTTCCAAAAGTACAAAAACAAAAAAAAAAAAAAAACAAGAGTGAAAGTAACGAGTTAGACAAAAGCAAAAAAAGAATATACTGAACCACAGTTTGGGATGCCCCTTCGAAATGGGTAATTCATAACATCGTACTTATCTACACATGCCAACACACATTGTACATGGTACTATATGGTATAGGGGATACATAAATACACGTATTATATACAAATACACATCGATTACAGATCTACTAGTACATATGTATTATCACAATAGACGACTGACAGGCAGCCTAGATGCCACAGCAGGAGCGGTGTGCGGCGGCTGCATGGCCATTCTCTTGATCCGCCTCGGCGTCATCCGAGATGCTAATGGCGCCGGCATTGGGCGCCAATCTGGAATTTTGCAATCGCAACGCATTGGTATCGTTCTGCTGCTTACTACCATAATGCTCTACCATCAGTTGGGTAAGCAGTTCGAACAGCTCGTTGACACCCTCATTTTCCTTGGCGGACGTCTCTACGTACTGTGCGCCAACCGTCTGCGCATAGCGCAGTGCAGTCTCATAGCTAATGGCGCGCTGGTCCTCAAGATCAGTCTTGTTGCCCACAATAATCAGCGCAATCTCGCTGCCTCGCATCTGTTTAAGTTCGCGTACCCAAGACTTGACCTTTTGGAAGGAGTCTTGATCGGTGATGTCATACACCAGCAATGCACCATCCGAGCCTCTATAGTAAATGGGCCCCAATGCATGGAAGCGCTCCTGCCCAGCTGTGTCCCAAATATTTAGCTGGGCGCGTTGCTCATCTGGCAGTGTTACCTTTTTGGTCACGAAAGAAGCCTGCAGCGTGCTGAGGTGCTGTGTGTTGAACTTGTCCTCCATGTAACGCAGCACCAGCGATGTTTTGCCCACACAGCCTGCAAAATGCGCAGCGCTTTACAAATATAAAAACCATAGAGGCATCCAATTGCGACTGGAGGTTTACATACCTTCGCCCAGCAGCACCGCTTTGAAGTTGAGCGTGGGCCCAGCACCCGTTCTGCGCGAACTCATTGTAGGTCCACTCGTATGCAATTTAATAAGCGATTCCGAAACATTGAGTTATTCTGACACACTTGGAATTTTGTAATTGATTTTATTTTCATATATATATATTTTTATTTTTTTTTTGTCAAATAGTCTAGAAGAGTTGCAAGCTAATCGCCGATAGATTGTGGCGGCTTGTCGATAATTATGACAAGCATCAAGCTGATAGTGTTGAGTATTTTTGCCATTAAACATATGTGGGATACATCGCAACCACAGCGGCACTAATTTAATTAATATTATAATATGGATCTCTCACATAAAAAATGAATATCAGCAAATTAATAATGGAGCTCAAAAGAGGCGTAAAAATACATATCCGCTAAAATGTTAGCTATATACCAAGAAGTATCGGCAAAGTTACCGATATATGCGTTACCTAAGGAAAACGATATTATTTTGTATCGTGTTTTGCAAGACTAAGTTGGCGCGCGTTTGATTTACTATTGGCAGCTAATTAGAATATTTCATATATCAAATAGTACAAAATAGCTTGTTTGATAATAGTTTATTTTTAATTTAAATAATAATTTAATAGCGTATTGCTCCACCATGGCAGCTTCCTACTTACACCAAATACGCTCTCTCTCGCGCGCAAAATATGCGAAATTCCAGCACACTTTACAAGGGTCTGGAGGCGTGCGCACATACGCTTTGACCAAGTAGTTGCTGTAGTTGTTGTATATTACTTCTGCTCTCAATTGAGGCGTCACTACGCAGTGCCGCATTTAACCTGCTCCCGGATCGAAGAGGTTGAGAGACCATAGACAACTTACAGTGGGCCGCTCATGTGGATGCTCCATAAATAATTCTCTTCATTCATGATTTGTTTGAACACAACCATTGTACACGGCAGCTATCACTCTCTGTCTCCCTCTCTCTCTCGCTCCCTTTCCTTCTTTCTCTCTCTCTTTTTACTCCATCCACTCTGCTCTCATTTGTCGAGCTCTCTCTCTCTCTCTCTCTGCTTACAGCTCCGGCTCGGGCTCTGGCTCTGGCTGAGAGGCTGTGGCATCTGTTTTCTATGACAACGGCAGTGGCGCAGCTTTGTCTCGTGCTGGCGTTTCATTCTAGAATTAAGTGCCGCCGCAGCAGGAATCGAAAAATCCCAGCGTCAGGCGCGCTCCGTGTGCCTCCAGAAACCCGGAACCGAGACAAACCGAACCGAAACGTAGCGGAAACGAAGCTAACGTGAATGTGTAACGGTATCGGCAGCATTAATTGCAATACAACAAAAACTGAAATATTTCAAATATTCAACAATAAAGAGAACACAATAAAAATTGCTAGTAAATATCAAATAACGGTATTTTCAAGTTAGCTGCACTAACGGTTGCGCTTTCGTCGCTGTGCAAAAAAGTTTACAAGAAGCCAAATCCCTGCCCTACAAAAACACACACATACACACACACTCACACAGAGGCATACGCATTATTTTTGGTGTACACACACGCATACAGACGCACGGTGGTTTCCTGTGTAGGCGCTGCCAGGTCTTCGGCGTTGGCGTTAGCGTCGGCGTTGGCGTTGGCGTCGGCTTCGCATTTGGCATACATAAAGTTTTTGTGCTGTCCGTTAGAATTCAAGAGCCACAGCTAGCGCTTAACGGTAGCTGCCCCAGTGTGTTGGTGTGCGTGTATATGTGTGTGTATTTGGTCAGTAAGCCAACAAAAACTGCGCACCAAACAAGCGTAAACCAGCAACAACAAACGTACAAGCAACAACAACATTTTTGTCTGCTTTGCAGTTCCGCTTGCCCTTTCGGGGTTGCTGCTGTTGCGCCTTTCATACTACGCACTTTCGCACACACACACACACACACACGCACATATACACACACGCAAATACGCAAAGCAGTTGTGGCGTAGAAGGCCAAATGCGCAGCAAATGCAATTGCCACGCCCCACACCGCCGCCCCGACCCGGCAACACAGAGTGACTTTTGACAAAGTTTTTCTTTTCCTGCGTGTGCGTGCCTGTGCGTATGTGTGCGTGTGTGTAGCTGTAACTTTTGCATTTCTAGGGATACACAGGATACACAAAATGCGCGTTAGCGCTATAAAGTGAAGAGCGCCAACAGGAGGAACAATAACAAAAGCCAACAGGCAAAAAGAACAAAGGCGAAAAATATAGGAGCAGGGCAAAGGGCAAACAAAAACAATTCACGGCTCGAGTAAAGGAATTTGAGTGCACAGTGAAAATACAGAGAAAGTGAGAGAAAGAAAGAGAGAGAGAGAGAGAGAGAGAGGCAGACAGGAAAGGGGTACAGAGGAAACAGCAGCAGTAACAGGACCAGGACCAGGAATAGCGAGCATGGATAGCTCGCCGGATTTGTCGCTGTCGCTGAAACTGCGACGCGGCTCCAGCGACTCACGCGACAATTTCTATATGGACTTTGCCCAGGGCATCGATTCGGATATCGAGGAGGTGGACAACAGCAATACACATCTGGATGATGCGCTCGCCTCGAGCTCTGGAATCCAGATGGCATTGCCGCCGCCGTTGCCCACAGTCCCGTTGAGCGAGGAAATGCTGCTGTTGGTGGCACCGCCACCACCGCCGCCGCCAACCACGCTGCTTGGCCAGCCGCTGCCGACGCTAACGGAGACGGATGATATGCCGCCAACACCAACGCCGCCGCCACAGCAGCAGCTCAGCATGGAGGCCAACTCGCCGCCCGGTTCCTCCAGCAATTCTGTGCTCGAACTGGAGCTGATACCTCCGCCGCCACTGTCGCCCATGGATGATGCCGGACTGCGCACCGATGACGACGATGGTGAGGAGACAGACGATGCCGAGGAGGCGGTCATTGAGCCACCAGTAGCTATGCAGCTGCAGCAGCAGCAGCAGGAGCAGGAAGATGCTGCCGATGCCGATGATGATGATGACGATGACGAGGAAGAAGAAGATGAGGATGAGGAGAAATCGACACCGCCACCACCGCTGCCGCCATTGCCCTCGAATCTATCGTATGTGCAGGGCAGCGTCACGCCCCCTTTAACTAAGTCACCATCGACATCTCCATCTCCGCCGGCAACGCCGCCACTGTGCCCGGAGCTAAACATCTGCAAGATGGTGTCGCCACCAGCGCAGCACGTAAGTCAGATACCTCCTCTAACGCCCTCGTCCGAGAGCGAAGAGGAGTCGCAGCCGAATTCCCAGCCCATTGTTAGGCAGCAACCCCAGGGAATGGAGCAGGATCAAGATGAAGAACCAGGACCAACCCCAGGACCAGACCCGGAGCCGGAGCCGGAGCCAGAGCCGGATCAGCAGCTGGTAAGCGGTGGTCAGCAGTTGGCCGCCGAGGAGTACAGCAGATCTCTAGACAATGAGGATGAGTCAACAACGATTACCACACCGCCCAGCAATGGATACTCGGCATCCTCGATAATTGCACCACCGCCAGAGCACTTTGCCGAGCTGGACGAGGACAGTCTGGGACGTGGCTTCATACCGCCACCGCCGGCAGGTCTGGAGGATATCAATGTGGATGCGGACGAACGTGATGAACAGCAGCAAGAAAATTTGCAGTCGCTCGACGTTGATGAAGAAGACCTAACCAAGGTTGAAACCGATGAACTGTCCATGGACAAAACATCGCCCAATGTGGGCGACGACGACGCAGACGATGCCGACGATGATGAGCCAGGCGATAGCATTAGCTCCCCACGAGCCGCCAGCATTGCCAGCGGTGGCATCATGTCCACCAGTGGCGCCATTGCAGCCATGGCCGCTGGCAACGCAGGTCTAGGGTCGCCCAAGTCAGACGGCCGTGTGCCCAGTCGCAGCGGCAGCCAGCGCTCCCATGCTGGCTCCCGCACTAGCTCCCAGCATGGCTCACGCACGGGCTCGCACGCAGGCTCACGGACCGGCTCCCGAACGGGTTCTATAGCCTCTGCTTCTGCCGCAGCCGTCGCCGCTGCTGCAGCCGTGGTGCCGGTGCTGTCCCCTCAAGCCTCGCTCAAGTCACAGACATCGCTCAAATCGCAGGCTTCGATCTCGGAGAGAAGTCCAGCGCTATCACATAGGTCATCGCAGCGGAGCGCCGAGCGCGTCAAGAGCCCGCCCGCAGGCGAGAGCGCACCAGCCATGCCCTCGCCCCCATTGATGCGCAGCTCGCCGCCCGAGCTGGCCAAGAGCCCACCGCGGCAGATGCACAGTCCGCCGCGCATAACAACGCCACCGCGCGTCTGCAGCCCCCCGCTGGTCAGCAGTCCACCAAAGCTGGCGGAGACAGCCGCAGCAGCCGTTGCCACAGTGCCAGTCGTGTCCAAGCAACAGGCCAGGTAAGCAAAGTGCCGCTTCAATGTTTGGAACGGGACACATTTCAACCACATTTAACTACATCAATGCCATTATTAAGAAAAAGTCGGCATGAGAAATTTCACCTTTTTTAAAAGAAAGAAAAGTCTTCCACATCGATAAGAGGCTAAATTTGTATATCGTATAAACATTTCTTTTTTCTATTGATCAAAGTGTTTCAGAGGGTCTAGAACAGCATGCCGCATATTTTTTTTAGAACTATATCCTTTTTAGCCAATGCGATAAGTGTGACTCAAGCTATTGATCTGTTATTATGATGTTTATGACTCGGATGCTATATTCCAAGAGATTAAATCTGTAAAATACCTCAACAACGAAGTTTAGGATTCGAATTCCCATGTACCATAACAATAATAACAAGTAAGAGGTTCAAGTCGGGAGCTCCCCACTAGGAGATACCCTGAACCCTCTTCTTCCAACATCAAATGCATATATATATTCTATTTTAGAAGCTATATGTCAAGTTTGGTGACTCTATCTCTTATTATTTACCAAAATTGCCCAAAAAACAGGATATCGATATCGATTCTTATCGATTGCTTGGAAACGGAGTAAGTTATCGATCTGCGCGGGAGCTAGGAGCACCTACATCCAAAATTTCAAGTCTCTAGCTCTTATAGGTTCTGAGATCCTTGCGTTCATACATTCGGACGGACGGACGGACAGACAGACGGACATGGCTAGATCGACTCGGCTATTTATGCTGATCAAGAATATATATACTTTATGGGGTCGGAGAAGCTTCCTTCTGCCTGTTACATACATTTGGCTTTCGCACAAATACAATATACTCTTATACCCATTTTTAATGGGTTCAGGGTATAAAAATAATCATAACATCCTTCGCAATAATAAAATGGAAGTTGGAAAATGTTATGAACTATTCATTACAACCTTCTGGCCGGAGACGAAGAAGAGATAATAAGCGGTTTAGGATGGCAAACTATTCGATCAACATATCTCATTTAAGTGTTTTACTTTGCTTATAGTGTGTCGATATTTAGGTCTCTCAGCCTCCTGCAAGATGCTTATCAAATGACATTGAGCTATGTTTCCCCAAGATGCAGCAGTCACAGTTAACTCTTCTTCTTGGCCGTAAGGCAACGCAGTTCAACATTCAGATGTTCCTTAAAAAAAGTTAGTCCATATGCTTGGGATATCGGCACCGATTGTAAGGACTAGCTACCCTCCATTTTGAAAAGTAAACTTGGAATGAGATTCCAGAGGAAGTTCCAATTCCAATCCGAGCTATATTGAATATGAAAGTATTCATGAATATATATAGTCAAATGTGATAGGAATCGAAATGGAACCTTGATGAGTGCACCATTGAGAGCGACTTTAAGAGTTTTGTCAGCCAGCCAGACTTAAAATGTCAGGTAGATTGCGTTTTCCACGCTTGTGTATGCAGTTTTCTCATCCAGTCTCCTGTTTTATAAATATATGCATTTCTTTTATCTTCTTCGTTAGGAATTGATATTTTGCGTTCCATAACTTTGGCTCTCGATATTAGTCTCGAGTGGTAGCTATCTATTTAAACCATCTGTTGGCTGTTGTGTCGCTCTGCTCTGGTTTTATTATGACGAGACACACACTCACACACACATACACATGCACACACCCTATACATTTGTTAATTGCATAAGCATTGCCTGGGCTCTCGACAGCTTGTTGTCTGCATCCATTAGTTGCTGTTAATAGCCGAGCAAAACTGTTTAGTTCGTGCACTCGACACTTGCCGCATGTTGCATGCTGCGCTTGTTGCCCGGGGCCTGTGTCTGACGCCTACTATCTAAATGCGCCATCATGCAGCTCGCAGCCTGCGCCTCGCCCGTAACATGGCAGCGTAGTCGCTTTTACACTTTGCATTAATTAAACATCACGTTTCCAGTGCAACAGCCTGACAAGTTGCGCAGGCATTGAGGCCGCACAGGGCCCACGCGGCGTATGCGGCACTTGGTTAATGCGCATACGCCATGTTGCCCGCAGCTGCAGATGCCGCGTAGATTGGCTCGCCACGAACAAATTGCGCAACAAAGAAGTTGCTGTAGGTTATTGTCCTCCGCTGCTGTCACCTGCTGTCGCCGGCAGGCGCATGGCCACAATTGCGGCGACACCTGTCCATTGCCACGCACCCCATATTGAAGCAGTCCAGCTCAAACCAAAATGGGTCAATTCAAACTTGCTATTGTGCTAGGCAGCAGCAGCTGCTGGCCACCCGGAAATAGCTGCCCATTCAGCAAGTTCATTCCATCGCGTGGTTTTGTTTGCCCAGACGGCAGTCGGACATTTCCAGGCCAGCGCGTGCCTTGTGTGGAATAAATGCCCAAGACTGGAATATTCTGTGAATGGGCATGTAAATAACGGCAAGTAAAACAAGCCAAATGGATACGTTACGAATGTTTTATGAATGCCATGCGACTGACCTGCGAATGCATTGCAAATGCTTTACGAATGCCCTTCGGATGTCTTTTGAATGACTTACGAATGCACTACGAATGGTCTACGAATGCCCTATGAATACCTTGCGAATCCCTTAAGAATGCATTACGAATGCCTTATGAATGCATGACGCGCAAGTTAGGAATACATTACGAATGCATTACGTGCACTCTGCAGTGCAATACAAATGCCTTTCGAATGCTTTATGGATCAGTTTCGAATACTTTACGAATTACTTAAACAATCACTACGAATGGTCTACGAATTCCTTACGAATGCCACGGGAGTACAATGATTGCATTACGAATACTCTACGAATGCATTACAAGGCCATACGAATGCGTTACGAATGCCTTACGAATGCTTTTAATTAGCATGTGAACAAACGTGAAGCACTCAAAATCGACAGTTGAAATGTTCAAACTTCTGTCTTATTCAAACTTTCGATAAGTTTTATGCACCACTGAATTAGTTAAATTTCCTCTGCTTGCTTTCATCTACAGCACTTTTCTGTGCCACAAGCACGTTGCAACATTTGTAGCGAGTGCCACATGCATGCCCGCTAACAACATGCTTCCGGCTTGGGTTTGGCGTGCGCCTGCCTCCTGCACAACCGGCACAACCATTTATGCAACAGCCGAGTTGCAGGCAGGTTAACAACCCCGACGAAACTCCATAAAGTATGCAGCACTCTATAGAAATCGTATTACAAGAGCGATTGAGTGCATGACCCACAGTAACCACCACCGGTAGGCAAAAAAAAAGAAGGCAGGCAGGCTGGCAGCCATCCAGATCGACTCCTGTGTCCCGTCGACTGGAAGCAAGCCAGAGCCAACCCGATGTCAAGGTTATTTATAAGCTCTGGCACAAAACTCTGCCACACTTGTTGCAATGTATGAGCTCTATGTACCCTTCATCCAAGCACCAAGTGCGGCACCATAAGGATGAGTTCCCGCTGAAGTGCTGTTGTGCTCGACAATATTTTCGAGTGCCAAGCGGATAGATACTCAGATTCAAGCTCAAACTCAAACGCAATCTTGAATCTAGATTTCAAATAAACAAATTATGCATATGAATCCATTTCAGTGCATTCATACTCAAAGGCAAGTTCGCTGCATGTGTGGGCGAGTGTGAATGTGTCTGCGAATGTAAATGTGTCTGCGAATGCAAATGAATGGCAGCCTGTAACAAAGATTCGTGTGAACAACCTCAGACAAGGCAGTGAATGAATTTAGGATCTTTGTGTCTATGCCTCCTTGAGATCTACTCGAGAAATTTACACTGAAACTTCCCTTTGGTTCGAAAATGCGCACAGAGACAAGTTTGTGGAAAATTGTACCTCCAAGTGGGGGACAACTGATCAATATCTGTTTGCAAAACCTCAAAAAGAACGCAGCCACTTAAGTTTCCTTTGTACAAGTGACGTCATGTGTCTATGAGGTTAGGTGTTTGCGTGTCGGGCTAGTTAGTGTGAAGGTGCCGGTTCAAATCCAACAGAAGTTCTTGGTTTGTTTTGTTTAGTTAATTGGTTTTTATTCACAAACAGAAAAACGTGCTGGCAGTTTGAGCGCTTTCAGCTGTCTGAGCGCTGGACTCAATAGTGTGAAGTCACCGGTTCAAATACAGCAGCTTTATTACAATTTATTTGAAGAGGCTTTGTTTAAGTATTTGATATATTTATAGGGAACCACTCGCTGTTTTAATTAAAAATTCATAGAGCTTCATTTAATTATTTTCATCGTGTATAGAAAATATTCGAATTTGGGCTCCTGTCTCGCAGCCTCATTTAGCCTTAATTACACGTCCGCCGTGCAGGAGTGCCCCAAATATTGAGTCGCCGCCCCAGGCCAGAGAGAATAAAGCGGGCAGCTTCGTCACCTAGCTATGTATCATATTTTATATATATATATACCTTTTACACACATATGCATATAGAGATTAGTTTCAATTGCCAACGTGGGCAGCCCCAGCTGCGGTTTTTGGAGGGGGTTTTTCATTAGTTCTTTTTACGTATACTATTTTTTTGCTGCTGTTATTAAGCACAATTTAGGCGCACACTAAACATTGCTAGCGCGTGGGAGTCTATAGACTAGAGAATTAAAAAACTGCTGGAAACAGCTGGTGACAATGACAATGGCACAGTTCATGGATTGAATGATTTAGTGGCCTGCAGCAGGCTGAGATCGCAGAAAACTGCAAGAGTTCCGGAATGGAAGCAGTACAGATCTTAGTGATCTGATTTATCTGTATAATTCGAGCTGTTTTTTTCTGCGCTTGAGTGCCACACAATGTCGACGACGACGACGACGCCTCGACGGAAGTGTCTGGCACCCGAAATGATGAGCAGTGGCCAACGGTCAAGCGTTCACATGGCACATAGCAGGCATTTAGTAATGTGCACATATATAATATTTATATATATATATATATAAAGCTGCTGCTTTACCCCATGGCAACAGCGGGTCCATTATTTAATTAAGCCACTGTTGTGGTTGTTGCGTCCAAGTGTGCGCCTGCAGAATATCTGCGCGAATCTGCGCTCACAGAACGGAACGGGGGCCTCATGCAAATCGAGTGACTGGCGGCGCATTCAGTCAATCGATGTCGCTCATCGCGACTGCGACTGCACATCTATTACGGGCATTATTAATCCAGAGATCCACATTCCATGCCTTCCATTTCCAGCAGCAGCAGCAGCAGCAGCATTGTCGTCCCGGAGCCACCGCTGGCCACGCTTAGTTATCAGGATGAGCAGAAGTCGCAGCTGCCCAGCTCGGAGCCCGTTTCCGTTTCCGTTGCCGGCACCACACCGCCGGCCAGCGTGGTGGTGACCAGCCAGCCGCGTGCCCACTTTACGAGCAGTCATCATCATTACCATCTGCCGCATCAGTTCCAGCATCCGCATCATCAGAATCATCATACGCACAGTGTTCGCGTGCCCACGCCCACAGTGCCGAGCAGCTATACACCATCGTCGTCGGCGGCATCAGCTCCGGATGGAGATGGACGCTCACCGAGCTATATTCGACGCGCAGTGCCTCTGGCGGCGCCAATACTAAGCAGCTCGCTGCTATCCGCTCCTGGAGAGGCTGGAAACGTGGCGGCAGCCGTATCGCCGGGCCGCCTTTCGGCACGTTCCGGCTCGCAGCATCACGTTACCATCGACGAGTCCAGTTTGCCGCACAAGAGCAATGTGGAGACCGCCGGACCCAGTGGCCTGATATTGGTCGGCGGCGATGGCGATGGTGATGGCGACCACGGTGGCGACAGCTCGGAGCCGCCCTCATCACCGGGCAGCAGCTCCGAGTGTCAGCTCAGCAATGCAGATAGGGAGCGACAAGGTGGCCAGCTGGCACTCATGTATCACTCCCATCAGCTGACCAACTATCCGGTGCTGCCGGCCATCAAGCGTACCCATCGCCCCTCCTTTGTCTATCCACCAATGCCGCGCGTCAAGGCGTAAGTAGCGATTACTATATGGTTAATATGTTCATTTCAGTCTTATCAATAACTTCTCTTTCATTCGCTTATCTATATCTGGTTGGCAGCGGCGATGCTCTGGCCACACTCTTTTCAGCACTCTATGGCAAACTGCTGGTCGTCATGGGAGTGGCCTTTCCCATGGCCGAAGTTATTTCCACCTATATACCACCATCCTTCTATGAGGTAAGTTTGTGCTTTCTCAATTATTAAGTTCATTTATAATTAATAGAATAACATGACAAAATAATGCTATATCCACGCTTTGCCTGTGGCTTGAACCAGCATCTTCTTTTTTTATATGCCTAAATGAAAGGGTCCTCAAGTTTACGTTCATTTAATATAGATGGGCTAAAAAAATGTATTTTGCATTTATTGTAATTCCTATTATTTGGTAGCCTTCTTAGGTAGTGTTTCCTTCCCTCTTTCACCAAAAACTTTTTGGAGGCAACGTTTCTTTTCTAGTCTTTACTTTGTTTTACCGCTACACCTGAGCTGTATGCAAGATGTTTCCTAATATTATTATTATTTATGAATATATAAATTCTGCTTTTATCATGTCTTTTTTTAGCACTCGAAGATTTGAGTATTTTCTTTCATCCAATCAGTTTCTCTTTGTCGTCTTTTTTCTAGTTTTTTTAATACTATTTTTCGCTTTTATGCTACCAATTCCATAGCTCTTTTTCGCCCGTAGCTTTTCCTTTAACTTTTTTCTTCCCTTTATCCATTCACTACCTTATGTAATTGCAACTTCCGGTTGGTGGATTGTTTTTCTTTCCTTCCAGGTCTACTATTTGTACTTGTACATTGGAAGCATGATCTTTCTGCTCTTTATGTACGCCACATTGCTTTGGGGACGTCCCAAGCTGCCAGTGCCGATGGGTAAGTGAGATTCAAAGGATCTGTGTGCAAATGAGATTAATAAATCTTTTGGCATTTGAAGCTTCTTCGCCCAGCAAGTCGGCGGCCAAGGTGAACGCCTCGGATAGCATGGATGAATCGGATACGGACAGCACCTCGACCCATCGCCGCATACCGCCGGCCATTCAAGTGCGCCGTCCGTCGTTGCTGTCGCCGCTTGGCAGGCAGCACCACTACGGCAGCTTCTATTTGCGCATGGGCGCTGTGGGTGAGTATTCAGCTCGGACTGCTTCCACCCACTAGTCGGGGGAAGGGAGGTTGATCAGCTGTTGTAAACCATTTGATTTGGACCTTGCAGCATTTGGCATTGGCAGCATGATCTACTCTGGCCTCGAGTTTGGTCAGTACTTTGAGCTGAATCCGGACACCAAGTGCCACAATGTGCTGCTCGCATTGACGCCGGCTACCCGCATGGCTTTCATCTTTATTCAGATGTACTTCATCTTTCTGAACAACGAGCAGATCAAGGTCTATCGCTACAAGATCATCGCACGCTTCGGTCTGATGCACATGATCGGCACGAATCTGGCCGTTTGGCTGAACGTATTGATTCAGGAGACAAAACACGAGATACTCACCTTTTACAATCCGGAAAATCGCACGCTGCGCATCTCGCATCGCATACCGGGCCACTCGCGCGGTCATGCTGTCATTGCTCCGGATCCCACGGCACATTTGCGTGTGCCCCGCGGCCTGAAGGGTCCCTATCAGATCTTCGAGTGCCGTCGCACAAATATCATTGGTACTTTGGTGCAGGACGCTTCACCTTTTCTATTCCCGTGCACCATTGAGTACTCGCTAATCTGTGCCGCCATACTCTATGTGATGTGGCGCAGCATTTCCCGTCCTCAGACAGCGACTCCACAGCGACCGGACATGATTAGCTCCCCGATGAAGCGTTCCCCTCACCACTATTCCGTGGACTGTGCACGCGCCCACAAGGGTCTATTTGTGGGCATACTGATCCTCGTGCTGACCATCATCTCGCTGATAATATTCTTTGTGCTAATCTCCCGACCGGAGTTTGTTGCTCTCGCGGTCACCGAGGTAACCATATGTGAGCTACTCATATATGGCACTGCGACCATAGCCACCCTGTTGGGCATGATACAGATTCGACATCTGCAGTACGATGCCTATCGCAGCTTCTCCCTGGATGACATCCTGCTGGTGGGCGCGCAGACGGGTTCGTTTCTGTACAACATCTTCACGGTAATCGCCGGACACTTTACTCTGCGCAGCGATGACATGCTGGTGCCTATTAATGCGCTGGCCTCCATTGTGCAGACCGCATGCCAGACCATGTTCATACTGGACGCCAGCCGGCGGCAGGCGGTCAGCCCGGAGCACATACGCAAGAAGCCGGGACGGGAAATAGTCACATTTATGCTGGTGGTGAATCTGGCCATGTGGGCGATTAGCACATTGGAGAAATCGCGAGCCGAATCGCATCCCATACAGCTGAACTTCTACGGACTCTGGGCCTGGACCATAATAACGCACGTATCCATGCCGCTGGCCATATTCTATCGGTTCCACTCGACAGTGTGCCTGTGCGAGATCTGGAAGCGGGCCTATAAGCTAAAGCCGGCATATATGTGAGAATTCGCCCGCTCGCGCATTCAAAGTATTGCGCAGCAGCAACAATTCTGCGAAGATCTCAAGACCAATCTATCCTACTGCTACTGCTCCACAACTCTGGCTGGTGGCGAGCTCGAGACAGTCGAAGAGGTGGACAGCGGCGGCGGCGGCGGCGGCAGCGGCAGCGGCAGCGGCAACGGTAATGGCGATGGAGACGACGACGCCAATGTCGACGCTGAAGCAGGAACAGATAATGCCGCTGATCTGGTTGCACGTGTGCAGCAGGACCAGGGGGAACAGGGCGGCGGCAGCGCAGCCAGCCGATTGGAACGGGCCCACGGCCGGGCGCTGTCGCCGCAAAGTCTCAACACCGATAAGGCCTTCTGTCCGGTCTACGTCATAAACGGCGAATGAGTTTACGCTCACTTTGAGTTCATTGACGCATTAAGCGGCCATGAGCTCAACTTTGTTTAGCGATTGAGCACCCGCAGCAGCAGCAGCAGCAGCACCTCCACCACCACCTCCACCACCACCAACACCCACCAAGCATAAGGAACCACTACGAAAAAGCAAAAAACAAAAACAAACACCACCCAACAGCAACACCCACCATCGGAGAGTCAACTTCACGACATATTTAGGCCTGGGCGGGTGCAAAAGTTATTTAGCCCAAACAGAAAAAACAGCAACAAGAAAATGAAAATGAAACCCAAAAACATATCCGCGAGTTGGAAAAATGGCAATGAAAACATACATATTTAAGATGTAATACATATATACATAGAAATCCGTATATAATTGCAGGTAAACCCTTAAAAGACATTCCTAAACGAATATTCCACAAAAATTGCTAAGGAAGCCCCACAAGCAATGTGAAGTCCTTTCTAATCAAAGCTGAAGTCTCGTGTCTAAAGAACTTGTGTGTGGGCATTTTTTTTTCTCTCTTTTTTTATGGGGTGGGCCACATTAACAGTCGAAATGTGTGGGACTTTCAACCACTCAGCCTAACACCTACTCTATAATTGCGATGAGGCGATGTCACTTAGACTTCTAGTTTTCTAGACTTAGACTTCTAGACTAAGACATCTAGAATCTCGACTGGGGGTTAATGGAAGAATCATTTGTTCTATAGGCAAATGGGCTAGTCTAGATTCTCATCTAGGATGAAATGGTAGAAGGGCCTCCCCTACAATCTCATCTAGGGAGAATTGAAAAAAAAGGCCTCCTCTAGAGGGATTATTTGATCTTTCCAGCCAACTGCAAGCCAATCTTAGTGGGCTGTTTAGCAAGGCCTTTCCATTCTTAGTGTAAGCTCTCCCCCTTCCCGTGTTCATGCTCGTATGTGTCTGTCTGTTTGTGTGTGTGTGTGAAGGTGTGTATGCATGGTTAAATATCACAATTTACGAATCGTTAATGATATCAGTTTAATAGATACCTACATACACGTATACCCATAGGTTAGTTCCATGTTTATTCACAATGGGCATCTTTGAGTGTTTTAAAATGTTGGTGTGTAGATGCGCCCCATATTATGCATAAAGTTAACATAACAAGTTCCATAACAGATCTTAAGAGTTGGCGAAAAGCAAGCAAAAGCAAACAAAACCAATTAAATAGCTTTTGCAATTCTGCACCATATTGAATTTCCATGACAGACCTCAACGAATCACGATACAGTTTTCATACCACTTATGTTCACTCTAAAGAGACTGAATGCTTATCCTCAATGACCAGACCGAAATTTCAACACGACACTAACGTAGCTCAACTGAGAAGCGCCGCGAAAGGCGCTGCCGCAAACGAGTTGTGAATCATGAAGCAAATATAGTATGCATATAACCTAAAGAGTTCGATTTAACAGTATACACGATACGACATGATATGATACTAAACATCATATTTGGCATTCGTGCAGTTCGAAAACGTTCTATATGGATATACTCAAGCAAAAGCATAATAAATACTAATAATAATAATATACAAGTAAAAATAAAGGATATTATCGTAGACGTTGCTGCGTATTCATAATTAAGTACATTGAAATCAAAATACATCTACTTGCATATTAAATATAAAGCGAGAAAAACATAAACCCCACCAAATGCGAGCGATAAAGTCAAACAACCATGAAAAGTATTAACTATATTATACTACATAGTAGCATAAAATATAAAATATAGTATATACATATACATATACATATACATACATATATGCCAATGTTCATTATCAACAACAGCTAACAACTAAATTTTTGTTGATATCAAACTATATATAATACACACATATATAATATATACATTCACATATATATAAATATATATTTATATTAAGTAAGATCATATAAATATTTGCCGCACTCTTAAGTAAATTTTGAATAGTTATGATCCCCTTATTGTTGAAATTCCTCGTTTATAAATCGTATCTCGTTGCCATTAGCCGATGAATCACTGAGTTTGGATTTGTTGAATTGAACTATTTCAATTGAGAACTAGATGTTCTATTGGCTACTATTTTATAAGCATTGAAATAATTGTTGAGAGCTTCGTTTACCCTTACTTATAGGTTCTTGTGATAATTTACTTATACGCATGCAAACATAACTAGTATGTCTGTGTGTTATTCCCCTCATTTACGAGTCCCATCACAAACGCATAGCTAAGACCCGCGAGTTTTTATATTAACTATTCAGTATTTAATAAGCTCAAACGATAGAAGGACAAATCATAAAAACAGATTCATGGGAATCGCATAAGAGACGCACAAGTAAAGCAACAACAACTAACTATGTAATCTACTTTTTAATACATAAGAGTAAAACACTTTTAAGAAATGAAAACCAAAATATTTTTTTTTTTTTGTCTACCATAAAGGTATAGAGCCTAGAGTAAATATATATATATGTATGTGTATGTGTGTAGGTGCAACTAAATGTTTAACAAACATAAGTTTTTATTAGAATATTCGTATTTGTGTACACTCCGCGCCCTCATGTACGAAACATTGACTTGTATATTTTTCAATGCCAAAGATTTTTTACTTAGCCTAAGTTCAAATTGCTTTCAATAAAAACTAACAAATACATATGCAACATAATCAAATATGCTAATGTATGTGTGATTGATTGATTTGAGTTCGTATTTGGAAGCAAGTCTGAAGTTTTATTGTATATTCACGTTATTAAAGCCGAAAACAGAATTTCCAAAACAGAAAAAACAATACCAAAAATTCAAATCAAAGTAATTTGAACTATATATATATATATATATATATATATATATATATATATATATATATATATACTTATATATATATATATATATGTGTGTGTGACTTAGTTATCTCAATTTTATATTCAAACTAAATTTTTAACTAGCATAACTGTAACTTTGTATGCATTTTCTTACATGTATTTATTGTACACCGACTTGGACACTGCTCAAAAACTAAAAAAAAACTATAAAAAATGAACTCGAAATAAATTGAAAACGAAATGAAAAGCGCATAAACGAAAGTGTCAAACCAAAAAATTGAAATGTATTTACAAGAGTAATAATAGTGTTTAATTAACTAGTTGCTAGTTTGCGAAATGAATTCGTACTATATTCAAAAAAAAAAAAAAAACATAAGAAACGTATTGAAGCTCCTATTCCAGTAGTCAAAGAAACAGAAATCAAACTAAATAAAAGTAAACATCAAAGTTATAACCATTTCATTAAAAACTTTTTTAAATTGCCATATAAAATAAATAAACATTTCAATAAAAATACAGATAATACATTAAAAAAAAAAAAAAAAACATAATAGTTGCAATTTCGATTAAATGCATTTGTAATTTTCAGCAAAGTAAAAAAAAAAAATACTGGAGTGCTTATACAACACAATCCTAAATTGAAATATAAATGTTTTTTTTTTTTTGTTTTTTAATAAAAAGTCATATATTCCTTCAATCTACCTTGTTTTTCTCTCCAGCAACTGAAGATTCGAGATTAATATAGTTTTATTAATATTAAATTAAGTTAAAATACATAAATATTTTTGATTAGTTGCAACAATTGGCTTAAGAGACACTCCAGTCCCCTAAGCTGATCATAGAAAGGCATTAAATATGCAGTAAAATTAATAAAAAACGAATTCGATTACGATGAAAAAGCACATTTGTTAATTGTTTCATTTGGGTCAAGTTAGCGCCAGCCAGCACTTCCGGTTCTCCAGTTCACTAAACAATTCATCACATAATTATGCCTCGCTGCGAAATGGGAGCAGCCCAGTCGTTGAGCTGGCAAAAAAGAATATAATGCAAAATACAAAATTGATATGCTCGCATTTGTATGTTCAAATGGGCATGTATCTGTGGCTCGGCGAGAGGCGCACGAACCGGTTAAGGGTTGCAAGCGCGCCGAGGATAGAGAGAGAGCCAAAATATTCAAAAAAAAAAAAAAACAGGAGACTTAAAACAAACAATTATGCGTATCTTTTGGAAACGGTCGCATCCCAAAAACCGTGGGCTCTGCATTTTGAGGGAGCTGCAGCATTCGAAGGTGCCACATTAATGCTTTCCCCATTTGGCTTACGCTTTCACTCCAACACACCTTCACTCCCTTTCTCTCGCTCCTGCTCTGTGCCGCCAGCCAACCCGCTCTCTGTCAGCCAGACTTGCCGTCTCGCCTGTGGATGCTGTGCGAGCTGCCCCTGATTTATGCTGCAGTTTTGTGGATGCTGTTTAGCCTATGTACCTATGCGTACTATATGTATACCATATACCAACTGGTTACCCGGGACTTGAACCACGCCCTGGCCAACTGAGCTGGCCGAAAACTAGGTTAGCGTTTCTGTACGTTTTTTCCTACATGTTTATTTATTTGGAATTATTATCGCCTTGGTTTTTTTGTTGTTGTTGTTGACTTACAAATACAAGCGAAGCGCTGGGTCTGGGGTCCTGCTGTTAATCCAGGGCTCGTTGAATGCTTCAGGACAGGACGAGTGCCTTGTTGGTTGTTTAATTCAATTAGTGTTTTATTTGGGGTACGACACACACACGGGCAAACGGACATATGGACACACGCACACCCACACAGCGAGGCCTGCAGCTTGACCATTGCACATGCCCCTGCCCCTGCCCCTGCAGCGGCCCATCCCCAGGCAATATCCACACCTATGTATGCCTACGCACCACCAACTACACCACCTACAACCGAATAGGCCACCCATCTACCCACCCGTGGCAACATTTATTGTGGGCGCGCCACATTGCAATTAGATACAAAAACAAGTTTACACAAAATGCACCCTGTTTGGCGGCAAACTTAAGCCAAGAGGTGAATGTCCTTTGCCTGATTTTACACGCATGCGCCACAAAAATCCCAGTTGGAGACTCTGCCACTGCCACAGCCAGAGCCAGAGCCAACGTTACAGCTAGAGCCACAGCCCCAGCGAGTAGGCGCAGCAGCAGCTGGCCTGCTCAGACTTTAATGTCCTGGCTCTGTCGCACCTCTGGAGCACTTGTGTGTCCTCATAAGCATACGCACACACCTGCATATGAATGTGTATGTGTGTGTATGTATTATTATCCCTGTGTGAAGACACGCATAATCACGCACAAGTACTAGCTCCTTATGGACCACAATCTCGACAAGGATTCTGCGACGCTTTGCCAAAGGTACCCAGGTTCACACCTAGCAACGGACTTTATGGTCAATCATCAGCAGCGGGACACGGTTACCAAATGTTTTTCTTTTTCTGCAGCGACTGAACCGAACAACTGACAGAGTGACTGTCTGGCTGATTGACTGATTCACTGACTGTTTGAGCGACTGATTGACTGAACAATTGGTAAGCAGCGAACATTCCGCACATCCCTAAGAGCCAAGTAGCTGTATGCGATGTAAGTAAATTCCACCCGCAACTGTGAAAAATGGGTGGAAAACGTTTGTATGAAGATTTTATTTCAAACCCGTTCGTGCATGTCAAAACAATTAACCAGCCTGGGCGGATATGAAGAACTAAGGCGAAAGATTCATATTTATTCAACCGGTTTTCAAACTATTTTCGAAGTACTGTTGATGGCAACTTTGTCTTCTTCATTCGATCGAACTTGAAATTGTAATAAATAAAATAGCCCAAACATTATTTACCGATGACAGAAAATACACTCTGCAATCAATCAAACGGATATGTGGATTTTAAAAATTTGGAGAAACAAATTTGGCCCGAGCAAGGCCGGGTAATTACCGTTCGTGTTCATGTTTATAAATAGTACAAATTAGCCTAAGTTGATTCTAGTATAACTGTCCCTTTTTATAATTTGTTCAAACACTTTGTTAAGTTTTGTTAAGATTTAAGCATTTAAAATGCTGAGAACCTTCCCGTAGACTTTGTAAAATGGACAAGAAGCACGAAGATTCGATGGCTAGCAATGGGTCCAGATACAAGGAATGCGAATCAGAGGAAACAGGCAGCTCAGCCGTGACGATAAGTTCTGGAAAGAGCTCAGAACTCAGAAAGCATGAACAATGACTCCAAGTTGTTCTCATAGGCAGGTAATTCATTATGTCTAGATGAATGTAATGTAAGCCCGAATCCAAAGACCCAACCAAGGTGTTCGCGATCGAAGTCACACTCGGTTTGTCTAGCAAAGTGCAAGATGGACTAGCCAAAGGTTAAGTGCAGGCGAAAACAAACTGCGTGACCTGTGAACTCCAGGCACGTATTAAGAAAAAGATCTGCATAAGCAGATGAATATTGCAATTGTCAAAGCTCGTAATAAATGCCGCTTCTTCCTTGTATCGGATACCCCATTAGCAAAAACGGAGATATCACGAACAGCTTATTTTCCCCGATGGGTTCTTTAAAAATCTCTATCTATAATAACACTCTCTATAGAGCTTAGCTGTGATATGTTCTGATGATCGCAAAGTAAAAGTCTATATACAAATTTTAGTTCTTAAACTTAGGCTTAAAATGTGAGTTATACTTTTATGTTCATTAAAAATTTGTTCCCATTGAAAAGGAATGAAAATAGAGTATTATATAAGTCTATTCAGCGGACAGAATCTCCAAAGCTCTAGTACGACGAGATGCGTCGATCGGGCCATGTCCCAGTAGCTGTTCGTTTGTATAAACTCGTAGATCTCGAAAACTTTAAGAGCTATCCTAAGAAAAATAGCTATTTTCGGGGTTTCCTAAAGACAATGTTCAAAAGAAAATTGTAAAAACTTTAAAAAACAATGAACAAACCCGACCCAAAAAGTGTTTTGTGCGCCAAAATCGGATTAGTTCAGGCAACGAAGACAGAAGATTAGTATATAATCCTATTAGCATATAATCCTATCAAATATATATATCTTAAATAGGGGGTTTACTTCCACATTGCCCCGTGGAAAGTTTTGTGCTTAAAATTTTTAGTATAACTTTTTCGCCAAGAAATGTAGAAAACTGCCGTTCTATTTTGAGCTCCACGTCTTTTGGAAAATATATTTGAAGACGATCAAGTTTTTTTCCAAAATTTTCACAGTTCCGTGTACATTAGGATCTTATGTAGGGCTTTGAAAATAAGTTTGAACAGTTCGAAATAAGTTCGGACACAACTTAAAAGTTCCACCGAAAATGCTTGGATTCTGCAAAAAGTGTTAAACATTTGTCAAATAAATTTTCATAAAGCTGCTTAGAGTTGATTTTGACACTTTTAAGGCTAATCGGATGGTAATCAAACAAGTGAACTATCCCACAAGATACTACAGTTCGAAATTCAGCTTCTTAGCTCCTACGGTTTGTGTTCTGCGTTGATCACCAATCAGTCAGTTAGTCAGTCTGTCAATTATTCGGTCAGTCAGGACAAACAGTGTTATATATAGAGAGATATAGAATAGTTTTTCGTTGAAGAAATTCATAGTTAAGTTAGCCAAAACGGCAATATACCCGTTAGCTGTTGAATTATGCAATCTGTCGCATTTGGATGCGGTCGCAAGAGTTCACGTGCTACCATTCCAGACAGTTACCGTTATTCAGTCAATCATCATCTTGTTTTTATATATATTTCATTTTGTTTTTGGATTCGCGCAACGAATGTCGTGTGCAGCAGACTGCGAAACTACAGAAAAGGCAGCAGCGCCAGCAGCGGCGGCAGCGTATGTGTGAATATCGTATATGCTTACGATATTACAGAAAGCGTCACGTCGCAAAGCGACGCCGGCCGCGACGTTGCTGTAGTTGCGACGCATACCGACGACCTCTGCTGCTGCTGCTGTGACTGCGACGCAGCGTTGACGCCGGCAGAGCGCTTTTTCGTTGTTGGCCTGTGTGCGTTCTACGTTTTGAGTTGTTAGTTGCGTTCGAACTCAGTCATAAACGAACTGTTACGAGTGATGGAAGAGTCAATACGGTGCCTGCCAACAACAATCCAACGCAAGCAACAAACACAGCAACAACAACAGCAACAGAAGCAACAACATCAGCAGAAATAGCAAAACAAAGTAATATAAAACGCAATCGGAGACCGTTTTAGAATCGAGCCAAGTCTTAACTCAAGCTCGAATCAATTCGCTTGAGTAGTCATACGAATTAAATACTTGTCGCAATTATTGTTGCTTTACACAATGTTGCCATTGTTGTTTTTGCTGTTGCGTTTTGTTGCTGCGTTGACGTTGACGCTGCCGTTGCGCTAGCATTTATTTTTTTTTTGAATTTTTTTCTCGTACAGTGCTAAACCAAACTATTTTTGTAAAAGTTGTTAGCTTTTGATACCACAACAGCAACAATAATAATTGATGCAATAGTAATAAGAATAATAATAATAACAGTATAAAAATAACATAAAACAAGCAGAGGGCAATAAAGGGTTGTGTGCGCGTCGTCCCTTTTGTGTCTGAGTGTGTATGTGTTTGTGTTCCTTCCATTTTCGGCAAACGCAACAAATTTTTGGCAAAGGCAGTCGATGCGAGGACAGCAATAAGAACAACAACAACAGTAACAACAACAACAACAACAACAATAACGGCAAAGCAAAGCAAACGCGCGCGCAACAATCAAACGCCCACGCACGCACACGTCCGTCTCGTGCCAACCTCCCCCCAACCCCCTCGACGTAGCTCCGAACTGAAAGCAGGACGAAGTCGTGACAGCGACATGCGAAACGCGTAACAAAACAAACAACACAAAGACGCAACTGCCATTCCACGTGAGAGTTGACGCAGAAGAAGAAGACGCAGAAGATTTAGAAGCGTGTGACCAGGAGGAAGCCCGAAAAGTAAGCTCTATTTGAATATGGATGTGTTTATCTTGTGTTTTTTTCCAATAGAAAAAATTGTTTGTTTTTTTTTTTTTTGTGAGTTTCTTGAGTTACCTTCGTTACCCACACACACACACACACACACACTTGTATTCACATTTCTTGGTCTTCCATTAGAAAGACATTGGAAGGTCCACTATAAGCGTTTCTTTTGCTTTGCCACCTTCGCTGGCAATGCGAAACCCATACAAGTGCCACAAAATAATAAACTGTAGAGACAACAGATATTTCGTTACGAGTAAATTGCAAAAGAAATGGAAATTAAAATCGTTAACCGCAGGGCTGACGACTTAAATGGGCCACAGAACTGGGTCAGTTGGATCGGTGCTTAACTGTGTAAGAATCATATTACAGCTATAAATCAATGTGCAGTGTTGTACAACGATTGCAGACACTGTCAACGTATATGGAACAAAGTCTTGGGTTTGCTTAGCGTATCGAACAACAGACATCAGACAACTGGAGATCAACAAATAATTACATTTTACAACTTTTATCATTCAGTGTTGTAAAATAATTGTTGATATCGTACATCTATCCACTATCAGACAGATCAAATAACTTATTTGTTTTACAGCTCTTATTGCTATAGTGTTCTAAAACTATGTACTATACACAGAAATTCAAATCGTAATCAAATCACCGTTTACCAGTGTTGTATAATGAGAAATGTTACATTCTAAAGGTTCATCCCAAGGATCTCATAGATAATTAATGGTCTATACGAAATTTTTCCTCCTTCTTGGATCGTTTCGAAAAATGTTCGAATGTCGAATGTCGATTATGAAACTTATATTTTGCTTTGCATGTTTTTAACGTTCTGTCAATGCATTCTTAGCATGCGAGGGTTGAAAGTGCCACCTTTCTAACGGTGGTGTGTTTTGCACTGACCCTTTGTGGGTGGTTGGTTTGCGTGGGCATAGCGCAAATCCAAATAACTAAGAACTTTGCTGTCGGCTGTAACCGACTGCGCAATACTCTGTGCACAATGAATCTACGACTGCTGCTTGAAGCTGTCAAAAAAAGTCAACTTGACTTTCGCCTGGCGACTCTAAGACTGTAACCGCAAAGCTGTGACTGTTAAACTGATCTGTAAAGGATCTGCTCAAAACCTTGCACAAAACGAATGCACTCTTGTCCAGTTTGTAGAACCAGACATAGGGCATTATATATGCATATATCTATTGCGCTAATGAGACGCGTTGCATTTGCAAGCACAATACCATCAAATTGCAGCCCAAAAAGGGGGTGGTTGCGACTGACTGTGGCTCAACCCTCCGCGCCTCAAGGCTGACCAAAGAAACGCACCGGGAAAAAAAAACCCAAACCAAACAAAAACCCACCCATCGACCGCCTCGAAACGTCAACGTCAGCTGTGGATCGCTGACAGACATGCTTTGAAAATTGTTGATGTTTTTTTGTTTTTGTTTCGGCTTATAAGGTCACCCTATTTTGCCATGCTTTGGTTTTAATACCCTGTTACTGAGTGTGCATATATGGGGTATTATCTGAAGTGGGCCTAGTTTAAACAAGGTATCAATTTAAAGCTCTTGTTACAGGGTATCTTCTAGCTCTAAATATTTTCGCAGTTTTTCATTTATATAAGACAACAAGTCAGCACAGGGTGTCTGTAAGTCGTGCAAGATTATATTTTCGATTGTCTATTTGCTTTTTCTAGATCTATTTTTGCTGTTGCATAATAGATAGAATGAAAGTGAAAAACTGTCGAAGAGTGTCCTCTAGTCGTACATGATTCTTTCATCTTTTCTATCATGGACGGCGGTTTGTCTTGATTGCATTTATTAACTCGGTACAGGGTATTTTGTAGTCAAGCAGCCTTGCGAGTCATATTAAGTCTGATAGATTTATTGCATTTGAAAGATTGCACAGGGTGTCTTGTTTAATTTAACTTAGATACTTATGTGGCGTCTGGCAAAAAACAAAGAGGCAAAATGTGTCCATCTGGTCTACAGCTCGCCCCATTCTCATGCCCATGCCCATGTCCATTCGTATGCCCATTCCCAGTTCCAATTTCGTGTGCGTTTGCAGCTATTTTATACAATTGCATTTCCGGTTCCCAATGTGGGCGCCGTCTTTTCAGTGCACACAGAACTGCATCTGCACAAAAAAAGCACAACAACAAAAATGTATCTTTTTTTTAATGTTCCGCCCGTGGCGCCGATCCGCAAGTCTGCGATGGTTCTGGGTGCGGTTTGAGTGCCTGTCTGTCGTTTGTTTCTAATCTGTCATCGGACCCTTTTGTGCGACTGTCATAAAAAGCAATTACAACAACAACAACAACAACAACAATAAATAATAACAACAATAATAAGTGCCTCCGGCAATGATCGGGCCGTAAAGATGCGCATTGAACACCCCGCCAAAGATTTGTTCGGGCACAAACGAAATATGCTTAACCATAATATAAACATGGCATGCCATGCCACATGCGGCAACATTTTGAGGCGCTTATGTGGCAAGGCTAGCTGGAACCTGATAAGGTGATAATGTCCAGTGCTTAGACCAAAAAAAGAAAAAGCCGAAAAAGCAGCACGCCGAATTCAAAATACCCTCGTAGGTATCTTGATGTCTGCTGCAAATTGTTTTTATATGGAAGCTATATGATATAGTAGTCCGATTTGATACGGTCTTAAATTTAAGTTTAATATTTTAAGAGAATAGAGAAGCTCGTATGAATGAAGACGACGGCGCAAACAGACGGCCAAGTATCTAAGATGTTGACTAGATTTTGTGTAACGAGCGTAAAAGAGAGATTTGGAAGACAGAAAATGTAGTTCAGACAAGAGCCTAAATTCCAACCTGCGACATACATAAGAGCCGCCCTGACTGGAGAGAAATTTACCTAGAAACAGATAGCCGAACTCTGTCGACTCGACTGCTGATGCTCATCAAGAATCCAGATACTTCATGAACTCGAATACAGCTCCCTCTCTGCATAACACATTTGGTGACAAAATTACAATACCCTCGACAAGGGTATTCAAGACGTTGCAATTAACAAGCGAGCGTTAGTTTTGCGCTAACTGAGAGCTCGACTCGATTTTCTATATAGACCATAACTGGGCACAAGAGTTGCCGCTGCTGTTTGGGCCGCTTTGGCTGGGTCTTGCCACAGTCGTTAGCCATCAAATGTTAATGGCATTAAGCAAGCTTTTAATTTAAGTTTCTGTGTTGGTGTTAATGCAGCTACTGCTGTCACTAGCCGAGGCAGCAAGACCATGCGACACTTCTCAAAGGTGGGGGGACGAGAAGGCACAACACCAACAACAATAACAACAACAATCAGCATTAGGCGTCGCTTGGAACTGGCCATGGAACAGCAGCAAAATGCGATTGGGCCAACATCATGGAAACAACGTTTTATGTTTGCCGCCTCGTTGCTTTTTTGCGGTTTAGGTTGCATGCGGGCCAGTCCGTTAATGGTCAGAACGCCCATTCCGCATACCTAAGGGCATATACCATAAGAACACCCTATACATACTATATGAGGTAGCAAGCTCTGCGCAACATTTTGATTTGATTAAATGCAAAACCTCCGCTTTGCAGAGACAACTAGCTTTCATGGGGGACTGCGTCATTCTGCGAGATTTTTACAAGTTTTCAGGCTGAAAATTGTAAAAGATTCTCATGAATCTGTTAGTTACAAAGATCTTGTCGAGACTTAAACTAACTTTTATGTAAATGTAAAAAGTAACTTAAAGATACGAAAATAAATGAAGATACAAATGCTTCTTTGCCATTCATATATGACGGACGTCATCTGACACCAATAAATCTATTAGATACTTTCCACGTATAAAAAGATATATATATATTAAAAGTAAAACTATATTTAAGATATTAATGTGCCTCGGTTTTTATATGTTTCTGATTTACAAACGATTTAAAAAAAAACAAAAAACAAAAATGATGAGTCTGAGATACAAATATATCTGAGAAACAACTGTATCTGAGATCAAAATATATCTCTACTGAGATACGAATGCATTTATCAAACGAGTCTGAGATTCAATTGTATACAAGATACAAATGTATCTGAGATAATTATATAACTTATAAACAATTGTATCTCTATACTGAGATACAAATATTACCGCGATACAAATGTTTTTAATAAATATGTCTGTGATAGAATTGTATATGAAATTCAGATGTATCTTAGATAATAGTATCTGATTGACAAGTGAGACCGAGATACAAATCTATATAGGATTATAATGTATTTAAGATATGAAACAATTCTAAATAGAAATGTATCTGATTTAGAAATGTTGTTGATAATAAAATGTATCTGTAATACTAACGTATCTACAGTATGAATATATCTTAAAAACAAATGTTTTTTGGATAAAAATGTATCCGATATACAAATATTTCTAAGATACATTGTATGTATACTGCGAATATACCACAGACTGCGATAAGAATATATCTTAAACAAAAATTGTTCTGAGATATAAATGTATCCAAAATAAATTCGAATAAAAAACAAATTGCTTTAGAAATTTTAAATACACAAATTTGAAGCTTAAAGAAAGAAAATGAATCCTCGATATATCTTTAATAGATTTTAATAAAAATAATCAAAATTATTTTCGACTCTTAGAGCCGAGACTGTGTGCTTCGTCAGGCACGTTGTTCATATGGAAATTGGCTCTGCGTTTGTTTTTCCTTGGCAATGTTTGTTTTATAATAGAACGCATTCTCCACGCAATTCACAGGCGTTTAATATGCTCAGACAGCTGGCCAAAAACTGAAATGGCACACGACCTCGCCACGAAATCCAATACGATCACTCGATCACAATGCAAATACAGCAAGCGATTGCTGGATGCACTTGCTCTCCGGATACGCCACATGCGGCTCCAACGCTTGAATGGAATCGAGGGTGGGCTGTGCGCGTTTAGTTTTTGGCCAGCGGCCAGCAACAAAGTGTGGCAGCTCATTATAACAATTGGTGCATCATAAAGTGGATATTCATACATATAAATTATACGATATGATATTTAGCTGGCGCAACCTCGACAAGCTGCCATTTCAACGGGCGTGCGTCTATGGAGCGCATGACCCTCATCAATCTGTCAAGATCGCCGAGATTCCACTAGATTTTTATTAGATTCATGTAGATTACGCTGCAAACGCTAAAAAGATCGGTTCGCTTTCGCTATAAACAATATCAAGCGAGCCAAAAAATAAAAAAAATAAATAAAATAATAATAACAACGACAGCAAGCCAGCCAGTCAGCTGTCCATCAAGCATGGCAATGTTGCCAATATATCCCCACCCTCCGCCACCCAACACCCATTCCCATAGTGTGCCCCTGACATGCTTGCTTCTACATATGGCTAGAAGATTGTGCGTGCTTTTTGCTAATGGAATTTCCACTTGTTCGATTCAAGGGCAGACATTTTAATATAGTATTTAAGAAAAGAGATATTCAAAAATATCCGAATATTTATGTATTGTTTATAATACGTTTAATATCATTTCTCATTTCAGAACGACCAATTTGCTAACTAAAAGTCTTAAAACAAAACTGCTGCAAACCGAATGACTGATTTTTCTGAACATATAAAATTTACCTCTAACTAACTTTATACCTATCAATACCATAAACAAAAGCCAGCCCAAACATACATATATGCGGGAATATCAAATCATTTACTATATTTAGTATTAGAGCTTGGCCTTAAAGTAGCTAGCTTTCGAATCCATTGACAAAGAAGCAACTGAAAAGTAACAAGAAGTGACCGCAAACCAGGCTTGGAAGGATTTCAGTAGCTGTTCGTAGCGGGCGCGGAGAGAGAGGAATGCAGCGTTGTCCCTATCTACATGAGATGCGCGAACGTCTATTGGATCAGCCAAGGGAAACACTGCAGCTGGAGAGTATGGAGCGTGCCAATTTGCTGGACAATCGCCAGTCGGCAACCGAGTCGAATCAGGTCGGCACTGTGGTCAAGGTAGGGGCTGTTGGATGTACTCGTAACAAGGATTCAAATCATATGCAATATGCCGCTCATAATACACTAACAAACACTCACAGTCACAATCACAATCCCACTCACAACTCATACATATATTGTACAAATGAATGGCATTCGAAGAACTGTACAAATATCTCAGCCATTTGGCAAACATCTGAACGACTTGCTTGTAAATATTGCATATGAGTTTCAAATATAAAAACATAATTACACGCCTATATGAATATAAATATTGATATACCTCTATTATGATGTAATGTTGATGATTGCATTTTCAGTTGTGTTCTATATATAGAAAATGTTTACATTAATCCGTTATTGTTTAAGCTTTCCAATTATAGAAAAGTTCAGTTTACCATGTGAAATTAAATACCTCTCGATTGATTGATTCGACAGATTGATTGATTGATCATGATCGCCCGGCAGCTCGATATGAATCAAAGCAAACAAACTCCAAAATGTGACAAAATAATATACAAATATAATAAAAAAAATAACCAAATCCTTGCACGAGTAACGGAACGATTCGCCCTTTACTTTGAGTTCGAAAATAATATACAAATTATGAAATACAATTTTTTTTCTTTTTGTTTTCGTTTACTGGCAATAAATTGGAATTGTTTTTCAATTGTTTTTCCTTTAATATGCGACATGGAAATGCATGCACTCTATTTAAATAATTATCTAACGATCTTAACGCGCGTCATTCACAATGTGAGAGAATTACAAGCGCAGTGCCATTGTGAATGATGCCAACCCATGCTGACATCATACTTGTGTTTTATTATATTGCTGTACATACAAAATTCCAATTTATTGTTGTGACTCCAAACATCTGATTTGAGGCTCAGGGAACTAATCTTTCAATTTTCACCTTCGATCCCAACTGAACCACAGCTACAGGGTGATGGATATCACACGAGTCCCGCTCACCAGAGGACGCCGCTAGTGCCGCATGATCTGGGCGAGGATTTCAATTTGGATTTCGATGATGATTTTCCGATCGATGCACGACGACCAAAAAATGCCAAGTAAGTGTGTTCCATTGAGGCATTCTATTTTTATATGGTATAATTACACCCTTACACTCCAACTCCGTTTTAAATGTGTTTCGTGCTACGCGTTGTCCATTATAACCAATAACATCATAAACATACATACTTCATGCTCTCCATACCCTCTATATACCCCTCCCCCCTATATAAGATATTTCATGCTGCCCATTATATCACTGCTAAAGCTGCTTGTACCTTATACAGTCTATGTGATTTTTGTTTCTCATCTAAGTATGACCCGACCGTCATGTCACAGGCAGCGTAGTCCCTTCTTGGTTGTGGATTATCATTGATTTCACAGTAGTTTTTTTTTTTTATATGTATTTTAAGTACTTGTAGCTTTAAAAAAAAAACAAACAATCATTGAACTAATGCGCAAGACTCCTTTGCAGCGGTAATCATCCCCAGGTTCTGACGAAACCACAGAAAAGGTCAGATTTGATATACTCAATTCGAAAAAAAAAAACTCATGAATGTTCGATATATATATATATATCCATAAGACATTTAATAGCTTACCACTAAACTACTTTTAGTTTCCTACTATCCTCTTCTAATAAATCCTAACTAAAACTCGATCTCTTTGCCAAGTATACGTATTTTATTTTATATTGCTTTGCCCACACTTAGTTATGAACTATGAACACAATTGTTGATTTCACTGCATTGTGTTTTAGCGTAGAACCCATAGTAAGCACACGGACTAACACTGGAAGCCCAGCTAATCACTAGATATAAATTCCTAATGTATTATGTAGTACTTAATGATGTCGCATAAACACAGCCAGCCTCTACTGGCAAAGTTGCCAAATATCATGGCTGGATTGTTGTCTGTCATCAACGCGACAGATTATGATGTCAATGAACTGATGCCACACAACAGGCACATTGCCTTACATTTCCGATTATGCCGGCATTGTTAAGCAGCATGCAATTTCATCTGCAAATCTCTCTCTCTCTCTCTCTCTCTCTCTCTCTAACTCACATTCCTTTCTCTTCCAAACTTTCTCTCTCCCTCCCACATGAAACAAATAGTCAGCGCTTTGAATAGAAGAACTATATATATAATCGCAACACAACGGCGGGTAGCATGTAAGTTGAAGATGTTGCAAACAAATTACACAACATGACAACTGGCAGCAGGCAGCAGGCAGCAGGCCAAAAACCCGCCAAAACCCGCCAAAGCCCCGCCATTAGCCGACGAACCCATACAAGCAAAGCCTGGGCCTAAGCTGTCGCCGAGGCATTTGCCAAGATCTTTGCTCCAGTGCTGACTACGTAGGGCAACTCTTTGGCAGCTCCTCCCTCTCTCTTTGACTTGCTTCATCTTTATGCTTTTGTTCATGCCTCAGTGTTAGGTGTCATTGCACGAACCTACATTCGCATGCAACACACACAATAGACAACAAAACTTGCGACAAGTCGAATAAAACTATCAATGCTTGCTTTACAGCAGGCGGAAACAAGCTGTTAACCTGTCAGCCAAGATGTCAGTTGTAGCACAAGGGACTTACTCATCCTCACGCTGTTACAATATCGATTTAAATTGATACTTTAACTCCAACCTCTAATATCGGTATTCATTTCAAGTATAGCTTGAAATAAACTCTGTTGTAAGACCTTGCTTTAACCTGTCTAATTATCGATCTATTAATTGCTTAGCGCTAATATTGGTGTATGTTTACCGACACCTTGTTAAGTTATGATGTTGCTGTACTTTACAATTTATCCAGTTCCTGCGATTTCTCTGCGTTTCACAGCAATACTGATTACCTTAATACGATAACACTTCCCTAAACTGTTTCAATATCGATAACATTTGATCAATTTCTATCGATACTTAAATTATCACCTCTACAGGACAGTATGTCCTTCATTAAGTATACGCTCAGTTCCCTGAACTCTTCATGCAGCTCTCATACAGCATCTCTTAAATTATAATTGTTTGTTATCGATACTTAGACATTGGCGCTTATTTATCGATCTGCTGTTATGTTGCAGCTTCTTCAATTTCTCTGCAATATTGATGAACAGTAATCGATAACGCTTACCCTGACAATTGCAGCACATCTTTAATATTGGCATCAATTTATCGATTTGATTTCGCCCGAGCCTTGTCCTATTTCTCTATTAGTCGCATACCTATTTCTAGACGCTCAGCCCCTCACCAAATGCGACGCATGATTAGATAAATGCGCACAAGGTTAATTATTGCCACCGTCAATGAAGCAAGGCTTTTGCCATAAAGCAGCTCACTTTTTGTATTTCCTATTTTTTTAAATAGCACTAAGCTCGCGATGGTCACGGATAGCTTTTTAGCCTAAGCACCTTGTTAATGGGGTGGCAAAAACAAGGATCTATAAATAACAGCGCCGAACAGTCCTCAGAAACCACCCTAGTCCTTGTCTCCTGCTATTAACACAACATATGTTCACTGTCATCAGCAAATTGAGCTAAAAATAAGACCTTTGCGTAAATAAGAAATAAAGGAAATATACCTTAGGTACATCCTTGGATTGGATTTAAGCATGGTTAGATAGGCATTGGGGCTAGCTCTCATCCAGCAGTTTTTTACTTTAAAGGAAACGCTTTTTAGAGAAAAATATGCCTAAGTTCGGGTTACAGTTTTTTTTGGGCAACAGGTTTTTAGCAAGGTAAAAATATAATTTGAATTCCGATCTCGAACGGGCTCGTTTCAAGAAACTTGATTCAACTGTACCAAAAGAATCGAATACTATATATAAATATATATATGTTATTATTACTGTACTTGAACATTCAAGTGTTTCAACCACCCCGACGGATCCAAAGCTAAGCCCCATCTATGTATTACTATCAGTCAAATTCTGTTTGCTCTGGGCTTTTAGTGCTTGCCAACTGTGCCCCATTTTTTATTGGCTTATACATTTGGCTGACTCTTGGTGCGGTTGTTGGACTGTGTGTGGTTTTTTTCTCGTTCCCACTTGACAATCCCCTCACTCCTGACCCTCTCTCTTCAACATGTCATTCAGTGCACTGCGACGCAGTTGTTGGTAGCGACGCGACGCGACGCGACGCAAATCCTTTTCTGCCTTTAGCCAAATGCAACCCCTTTCCGGGCAACGTACCCTGCAGCAAAGGGACTCGGCTTATTGATAGACGCACACACATACGTACACCCCACGAGCAGGTCCTGCCGGCTTTGTATGCCGAATGGGCAAGCAAAACAGAATGCGATTGTTGGTTGTTGTGAAACGCGCACAAAACAAAACTACGCAAAACACACACACACACACACACACAAACACTCATCTGCCCGACCAATACTTACGATATAAAATGGACTGCGAAAGGAACTGAATTAGATGCGCCGCAGCAACGCTGGCGGCGGCGTCGCTGCTGCGTTTATCGTAAACGCACAGTGGAGCAAAGCAGGCAAATAATGAATACACAATTAAGGCAGGGAATCGCTGGAATCGATCAGTGCCTACTGATCTCTACCAGGCGAATAACTAAGGGAAGATTGTATAGTTCCAAACATGTAACTTATATGAAGATACATGATATCTTTGATCGGATACAAATCTACAGCTCTTCTTAGAGAGCTTTGAAAATGAGCTTTAAACACAAAACACAATATATCTGTTACTTTGTTTTCATTTGTATACTCCGTTCGGAAAATGTGTACTTGTGCAATGTCTAGTTAATTATTTTAAACTTAGAATATTTACTCGTGCATATTCGACTCAGAATAAGTATTAAAACTCATTGGCCACATTCATAAAATGATGGACACCTCGAAAAAAAAAAATTACTGTGAAAGATTATTAGAAATGTGTGTAAAGCTATTAAACAAACGATCGAACTAACTTTTTGAATAGAGTTCAATAATTTTCCTTTGGCTTGAAGAAGACAAGACAAGACAAGAATGTGTGTGTGTGTTTTTTTTAAAACAAAATAGTGAAGTAAGGCAAAAATAGTATTTATTTATGCACAAAGCCGCTATTTTAATTATTTAAAAGATATATTAAATAGAAGAAATACCTTCAACGCGCAATCTTGTTTTATTTTGCCAATAATTAGTTCAACAAATATCGTATACTTTTCAATAAGATTTCACTTACTTTTACACTCTCTCAACCACAGTGCTTACTTTTCACGATACACACAGACACACACACACACACACGCAGACAGACAGACACAACACACAGAGTCGGCCAAGCCTGCGGTAATTGAGTTTTGGGCTGTTGCTTTCGTTTAACTGACAACTCGCCCTTTTTCCCATGATTTTCTGATGCGAATGCCGCGGCTTGTGTTGTGTGGGCTGCACTTTGAAGCTGCACAATCAGCCCGTCGGGGATGGGACTCACCCTGGTCGCTGGTAAAATGAAATACGTTTTGCATTCCCAGCTCAAATGACCCCCTTCTTTCTGAACATGCATGTTTTTTTACTCTGGAGTCTCAAGAAAATGAAAAAAACAAGACAAAACTTGTTCACAACTTTTTCTTGTCTTCCAAAACGACATATGTTATACATAGATATGTTAGAAGACTATAATAGGCATATGTAGCAGGATCTTCAAGCTCGAGTCTCCAATTCATAATTTCAATGAACCTCCTGGACAAATGGCAATGAGAGTGCAATGAAGCCAGAGCAATAAGCCACGAGCCGCACACCCACTCCTACGCTCAAATGGCAAATCGGAAATGTAAACGAAACTAAAACGCTTTTCTGGGCTCTGGCAACAAGCTGGGCAAGTGGAGATCCGAGGCTTACTGAAATCATAGCCAAACAAGTCATTAACATTCCAATCACATACAAACAAAAAAAAAAAGAACATAATAAAAAGAGAAAAAAAGAGAGGAAAAACGAAATTCAACGCTTTATGCAAATAAAGCCCGCTATAAATGGCCATGCAGGAAAGGGACAGAAATTCAAAAAGCCATGAGGTAAAAGGGCAAAAAGTAAAAAAGAAACGTACAAAACCCACACAGAATGTGTCCTACTTTCTGGCATACAGCGCTTCGTTTCCCCTACGCTTCGCTAAAGGCTTCCACAGCAGCCAGCATCCTGGCCATGCAACGCCGCAGCAGCGGCAGCATCCTACAAAGAGAGCGCTCGCTGCAGTCAGAGCGAGCGGGACAGCTGCTGCAGAGACAAGAATGGAGATAGTGAGTACACAATTACACGGCCACGGAGAGGCGAACGAACACACGGAGATTCGGCGCACAGGGGCGGCTGCTGCAGAGGCACACACAAAACGCACAGAAACTTGGCCCGAGACGAGCCTTTTCAGTTGTAGTTGGATAGTAAAGGGTCCTGGACGTGTTCTATGCAGCGTTCGCAAGGTAGCCCAAGGCACACACAGCCACAGTCAGTCAGTCAGAGTTACAGGGTGAAAGCCCAGCAATTCCAGCAAAAATAGTCAGCCCATAGAAATGCATATACATTTTTTTTTTAAATTAATTTTTTAACTAAGCTGTGCTTAAGCTGATGCAAGTGACAAAAGTGCCAAAAGTTAAATATCGAAAAGTGTTGCACGGAAGAGCTAATCGCTAATCAAACAATTATGTGAGAGCAACTCAACTATAAATATAACTTTAATAAGTTCAAGGAGTGTTTCGTGAATGAAAATTTGAATCTTTTGCTGCTTTTGCAAAACTCTTGTGAAACAATTTGCTGTCTTGGGCGCGCTAAAGATTTTGCTATTGAATGTCTCTCCTGGTTTTGATAGCACCGGGCAGCTATACACACACACTCACGCGCACACACACACACACACACACATACTCGCTCATATAGTCTAGCAGCATAAACAGGACCTCGCTGTGTGAGAGAGTGCGCAAATTTACTTTCAAGTGCTTCGAGCTCCAGCCACAGCTTTAGCTCCAGCTAAATGAAGCTGTATGCAATATGTACATAAATATATATATGTATACATAGCTGTGCAGCGCATACACACACACACGCAAGCAAACGCACACAGACTCAGTCGAAGTTAATCTCACGCACTTTTTGTTTCCCCTCTCGCAGCGGAATGCGTGAGCGAGGGTTGAATTCGCTGGCTGGAGTTGTTTACTTGCGCTGGCTGCGTCGAAGAGAGGTCACTAGGTCGCTCCAGGACGCATTCCAAAGCACCAACAGCAGCAACAGCAGCAGCTGCAACAACAACAGCAACACACAGCATATTAACGCATTAAGTGCGGCTTAAGTTTTTGAGCGAGGCTCGCGCATTTTGGCCACGCCTCAGTTGCCCATTTGCCAAATGCATTTCAAATGCGTTCCACAAAATACCAAAGAGTATAACATACACACACACACACACACACACACACTCACACAGAGATCCATTGAGGAGCGTGAGAAACAAACAATAAAGCGTTGCATACTTCTGTGCGTCGTCTGCAATACCAGCTGCAAATTGTTTCAATAATATTTCACGTCACAGCCAAACAACAGCCGTAAATACTAAAGTGTAGCAAGTGATAAAAGACAAGCAACAAGAAAACAAAAACAAAAAAAAAAAAAAAAAAAAATCGGTATCGATATCGGTATCGATATTAGCTAAGTGCAAGCAGAAAGGATCAACAGCCAGCACAACGGAGGCCGAGACGGAATCAGAGACAATGGGCGGCGGTGAAGTGAAGGTCGCTACCGTCGATGTGGAGGGCGGCGACAATATGGCAACTCTGCCGGTATCCCGCTCCCATACCGCCGGCAGCACCGACAGCGCCGAGAAGAACAATGCGGCCAACAAGGAAATGGAGCTGAAGAATGTAATGCCACAGCCGTTGCAAAGGTGCGCTGCCAGATGAGAAAGAGACAGAGACAGAGCGAGCGTGAGAGGGAGAAGAGAGCGAGAAAGATTGAGAGAGAGAGAGAGAGAGAGTATGTGAGTGCGAGAGAAAGATAAAGACAAACAAGAGAGCGTTTCAAGGGATGTGGAGTGGGGATAGCTCTCAAAAGTGGGTGGGCACTGTATGCTTCTCAAGGCCGCCAAAAGTGCCAGGCCCTCAGTCATGTACACACACACAGACACAGACACGCACACGCAGAGACAGACACCCATATCACGCATACATATATCACGTATAACAGCTAGATACACACGCCTAAACCCAAAAACTCCAGTGTATATGTATATATACTTATATATATGTCTGTATGTGTTTGTTGTAGTAAGCTAAGCTGTATATACTACAAATGCTTCTATGTATTCCACATTCCATAACTTAGTTAATAACAGTACCAGCTAACATATAACAATTGCAACGCCAAGGTACCGATATTGAAATTAAAATCCTCCAATATGATGCCACCTTATATTCCGAATATATTCGTAATACTCGTTTCTTGACTGTCTTAACGAATGCTTTCTGAATTGTCAATTGCCGATTGTCGTCTTATAGGGTTTGCTACACGTTCAAGCCAAATCCAAATAAGCACAGTTTTATGCCAGCGAAAATAACGGTCCATGGCACATATCAGACAAATCCGATAACGGGACCAATCGAACTATGGTAATATACAAAATGCAACCATCAAATATACCGCTTCCTAACTTGCCCATTACCAACCCCCTGCCGCCCCTCCGACCCAGCGTACACTCAGTTATATGGAAGCGACATATATGCGAATTGCTTATGTTACTTTCTGTTTTCTATTATCATTTTTGGTATAACGCTTCTAGCGAAGTCCTCAACATTGTCACATTCCAATCAGACAGTTTCAGTCAATACGATATCTCTGTTCATCTGTGGAAATGAGGCTGTATGTCTGTGTGAGTGTGCGGCTTACACACAGCAGCCCAAATACATATACAAATGGTTGCTTTGAGTGCTGCCAGTGGACGGGACAAGTACCTAAGCAGCGTTGATGCTTTTAACTAGGTCAAATAGTGCAAATGAGTTGCATGCAACACAAAGCACAGTGGACAAAAAAGGGCTTTGCACAAATAAATAGCGAAAAACAGCAATGGCATCAATAGCTGCAAAAACTAAGTAAACATTTTGAAAGAGATCTTAACTCGAAAATAAATCGTCACCAAAGATAGCAGCTCTAAAAAATTATAGCTTCTGCTTAAAACATCATATGCTACAATATAAATAATATACTGAAAAATATCTTAATTTCGAGAAATTTCTAGTTACTAAAAATCGAATGAAAGGCGTCTTAACGAACCTGAAAACTAGTCAGAATCGAAAATAATTAAATATATTACCACCCAAGGAAACATATAAAGTGAGACCTTAACTCGAATACAAATCTAATGAGAGTCTTTTCATTTCATGAATAAATTAAATTAAAATAAATTAAATGTGCTACCAATATCAGAAAAATAAATTGAAAGAGATCTTAAATGGCAACAAATCCTATCCGAAGTTCTCAGTTCGAAAAATCTTCAGTTTCTGCAAACGAACATATAAAGAGAGATCTCAAATACAAATCTTTTCAGAAGTGCAAGTCATTTCAAGTTTTTGCTTAAAATTAAATATGCTTTTACAAAGTTATAATTTCGAGAAACTTTTAGTTGAAGCTTACACAATAAAATTGAAGAGCTCTTAAACAGACTGAAGTTAAACGCTTTTCTATCAAATGTAATATTTGATTTGTAACATATGAAATTTGCAAAAGTATTTCTGAATATCAGCCCACTGTGCACACTTTGATGCCTAAGTAGCTCGTTAAGGGCGTTGATTGGCATCGAATATCGAGAGCCGACCAGTTGCCATTGAGGCAGTTGGGTGTCTGATGATAGCTAATTAGGTATGCATGTTGCTGATTTATGCACTTCGAGCTGTCAAGCGCTGCTCTCAAGATGCATGAGAAACACACAAACACACACACACACACACACACACAGATACATAAATAATATCACAGTGAATGATACCAATTATAGAGCCTAGTTAAGTATTAGTCAAATGGGTAATTGCCACTGACACTAGGGGGTAATCACTAACCAACATATACTCGCACACACACACACACTCACACACTCACACTCAGACACTCACTTATGTGATGTTAGATTTAGGACTGGGTCATGTACACGTATTGTGCAATACACACGCACACGCACACACATTCACTTGTAGGAATCGAGCATATTTTTACTTCGGTAAAATATATTTTAACGTGTTTTTTATTTTTTTGACATTCGATTTCGCAGGACATCGCTGTTCATTGTGACCAGCCTGGTTTATGCGATTCTCTTGATTGTAGTATGCATTGCATATGTGATCAGTGATGTGACCACACACCGACTGCCGGTGCTCTACTATGAGACGTTCTTCACATACCTATACGGCACCAGCATACTCTTCCTTTTGTATGTCTTCTGTTTTTTGCTGCAGGGTAAGCTTAACACAGCCAGAGCCCAGGTTGTTGTCATTTGTGTGAGTGCTTGTATCTTCCATTCGCAGAGAGCTCTTGCTGTAATGGCGGCAATGGCGGCAGCAAACCGAAACCACAGATCAAAGAGAAGAAATCGAAGAAAACTAAGAATGCAGATCCAGCCGATTCGAAGGATGCGAAGGGCTCTAAGGACTCTGGAAAAGCTGGCAAAGGCGCCGCATATCAGGTGCGTTAAATGCTTGCTTTACTTGGAAAATTGTCATTAATCCACGGCACTCTCAGAGTTGCGGTCTAATCATAAGAAGCTTCTTTAATTGCTTCTCTCTTCTCTTTTGTAATTTAACAATAAATGTAAACGTGACGTGTGCCTTAAATGTTCGTTGCTCCTTTTTATTTCTTCTGATTTCTAAACGCTTCTCGCGGCAAAGCTTCTCATGCTTCCCTGATTGCTTCTCTTTGTTTTGAAACGAGCGGCATTTTAGCAGTTCTCTCCAAAGTATTCTCAATTATTTTTATATTGCAAATTTAGTTCATTGCCAAATCTTTCAAGGCAAATTTAGTCATACTTATCTAATTGCTTCTCTTTTTATAAATATATTTAAATACGAATGAAATTACAAAAGTATAGCCAGAACGACTTGTGACTGCTTTTCTCCTTACGATCTCTTGCAAGCCGCTTTTATTACTTTTTGCTGCTTCTTTCTGAACGCTTCTCCTTCCTAAAAATTAGTTCTTTCTCGAATTGATCGAGGCAAATTTAGTTTTCATTTGTGCCAGGGTTGTAGGGCGGGCGGCATGAATGGCCGGCTGGCTGAACATGCCACATAACAATAGATGCCACCTTTCAATGGGGGCACATTAACAGTTCGCCGTTAATTAAGTGACGACATTTGCCAAGTGATAAGGCCACATCAATTAAGGTGACCGTATGAATTTTTGCCAAGCACTGATTCAGTGACGAGCACATCATTCGCAAATTCAAATATGTACATTTATAACATTTATCATGCTATATGACCCCAATGCGGAATGTAAATGTGTTTCATTTTTGTTTACATGCACAGGAAGCACCCGTGGATGCCGAAGTGGCCGTCACCCCGAAGAACGTGCGCAAGCGAAAGACCACGCACAGCGATCCCACGCATGGAAGTTTCTTTCTGCGCGTTGGTGCCATCGGTAAAACATCAGATTTATGCATTAAATTTATCTATGTACTGTGTATTGCTAACTGGATACTGATCGCGCATGTACTTTTCCACTATTTGGTTTTCGTCATTGTCTCTTAGCATTTGGACTTGGTGCAATGATCTATATTGGTCTGGAATTCGGTTCGTTCTTTGAGATACCATTCGATTCGCCCTGCCATCATATTTTGATTGGCGTTAATCCGTTGCTGCAGATGATCTTCACCTTTATGCAGATGTACTTTATATTCATGAATGCACGGGTAAGTCAATTCAGTCCGCAATTGGGTGTGACCCTCTACCTTAACTTTCTGTCTGAAACAAACACTGTAACCTATTACTACCTACTACTAAATACAATATACTACTACCTGCTATTATCTAATACTACTACTTAAACTACTGTATGTTGACAATCACGAGTACACACAGTAAAATAAATACAACCTAACAGAAAGCCAACAGAGTCCCAGTCCTTCAACAGTCTAATTGAGGTTAGTTTTAAGTTTAAGCTTACGATATACTCGCTGGCCATGGAATGGAGAAGGGCAGGCAATTGTGTTGCTGGAAATCGTAATAGACTCATTCTGAATATTATGAAATCTCTAAATTCCGTCTATGATTGAGCCTTTGACGATATTCCTAACGACAATCGTGTGCCATATCCATGTTCTAGTCACGATCACATCACAACAGTACAGGCTCGGTTCGGTCACTCTCTCCTCTCTCTCTCCACCTCTTTCACTCTCTCTCTCACTCTCTCGCTCTCTCTCTCTGTCTCTTACTTTCACTATTGTTTACATCTGTGACGCTCGTTCGAATTGGCGTGTTAATTGGCAGTTAGTTCAGTTTAGTTAATTATAATTGATTCGTGCATTCATTCGCATTCATTTGCATTGATTCATTCTTAAGTACATCAACATTCATCATCATCTGTAATTTTCCTTTATTTGTTTTCGCTTTGCTTCATTCCACAATGCAACAATGCAACATTGCCATAGAAACTGAATAAACTATGAGTGCTTGCACTCGGAAATGAGTTCTGAAGCGCATTCATTCATTCGCATTTTATCGGCATATTATGCTCACATTCGGCACAAAGTCGAATAGCTCATTCAGACCAAAAGCCAAATCCAGTGTTTAGCTAGATAAAAGGTTACATGTTTAGCAGCTTAGATTCACATGATTCACATTCACAGAACGTACACGTACACACGCATTCATTAAGCATTCATTCATTATTCAACCCAAACTCACATCATCATCATTATATTTTTAAAACAAATTTCGAAATTGTGCTAAGTACTTAGTTTTTTTAATGAACCATTTTTGTGTACATAATCCCCACAACTCTGCCCCATTCGCGATCGCAGACTAGGCCACCATTTCAGGTACGATATACAAATCATTTTCTAACTCTACTCTACTACTCTACTCTACTCTACTCTCTACCCTACGCTCATTTCTCTCACACGTTTCAGATATATGTATGTGTGATATTATAATAACTATATCATTAGCTTAAGCTTAATATAAACTATTTAAACATATTCCTATATATACTATTAAGGGGTATCGGAAGTGGGAACTATAATACTCTTGCAGGGTATTCCAATTAGTTCTTAGTTAAATCATTTTTGATATATGCGCACAAAGTACAGTGAAAACTCTCTTGGGCGCACAGCAGTCATCGAGTTGAGAGAAAAAGTCCGACCAAGACGGGTTTTCGCTTAATAGGCTATATACATAGATACATTCTTGATCAGAGACAACAGTCGCTTCTTTATAGCCATGTCCTATTCATCTATCTCTTTCTATGCCAGCTACTACTAACGAAACTTTGCTTAGATAATTTAATTTGTTTGCAGTCCGGATCAGACCACAATCTGTCAATTATTCAAGTGCTTGCATGGACCACTTTTCTCTTTCCTGCAAGATATCCTGATCAAAGCAACTGCGAGCTACACAAAATAGCTTATATAGAAACAATCGTTCGAAATTAAAACCTTAGCACTTCGAATCCGTAGCTTGCTTTCTCAAAAGTTAAATGGGGTATATGCAAGAGTATTGAAACTTCGTCAGAGCGGCGAAGTTAGTTTTATCTTTTTTACTTTTCAAGCACTTATTTGCGTATTTTTGTAAATATATACACACATATCTATATATATATATGTAAGTGCTGTAAACGCGTTTCCTGTTTCCGTACTAATGTTTGCGCCTGCGCATTACTTTCTCTCCCCTCCGCCAAATCCCAACCACACCCACCGCTCTTTATATTTCCTGATCGTTGTCTCTCAATGCACATCGCTTGCAGCTCAACATACACCGCTTCAAGGTAATTGCCCGGTTCGGCCTGATGCATGTGGTGGCCACCAATATCTGTGTGTGGATACGCACCCTGGTGAAGGAGTCGCTGCTGGAGATCACGATCTATCACCAGAAGCGCGAAGCCGACCCCGATGCCTCGTCCATTGCCCATTCGATCAGGCAGCACGCGCTGCGTCATGCCGGCACCGTGCTGAGAACCCATGCTGGTCCCAACAGCGAGTTCGAGGTGCTGGACGGTGAGGATGTGCTGCCGAAGAACGTGTACAAGAGCGACAATGTGCTGTCCAAGCTGGTGCGCAACACCGTCGATGGCATCTCGAAGAGCCTGGGCATGGGTGGCGGCATTAGCAGCACCACCAGCAGCACCACCACCACGACCAGCACAAGGGCGCCATATACAACGCCTGGCTATCAATGGCACAGCACTACTATGGCCCGCAAGCTGAAGAAGTTTATCACAAGCACCACCGCTGCCACCAGCACGGTGGGTGGCAGCAGCAGCAGCAGCAGCAGCACAACCAGCACCACCACCAGCACCACATCAACCACTAGCATTCCATTTGGCAGCGCTGCAACGGCCGCCGACGTCATTAGCACGACCAGTGAAACGCCCTTCAATAGCCTGGAGCGCATCCTCTCAAGCGCTGCTCCGAGCCTGACGCCAGTCGATGTGGCCGGGTCAACGTTGCCCGCTGCTGCCGAGGGCACCGCAACCTCCGGCGTCTCCGCATTCTTTAACAATCTGGTTACGTCCACGCCCAGCACAAGCGTCAGCCCCAGCAGCACCGAGAGCGCTGTGAATATTATGAACAATCTGTTTGGCCCCGGCATGGAGACTAGCTTCCAAACGTATTCGGATATATCGCATGATGAGCCGAACGGCCTGATCGCCTTTGAGAATCTGGAGAGCCTGGACAACATTTATCCGGCGGCCTTGTCTTCCAACATTGGCACACTCAACTCCACCGCCTGTGGACGCATTGACATAATGGGCACTATCGTCTATGACTCGGCGCCGTATCTGTATCCGTTTATCATTGAGTATTCACTGATTGGCGCTGTGGTTTTGTATGTCATGTGGAAGCACATCGGTCGCTATCCGGGCAGGCTGAACGATGAGGATCTGGAGCATAGGCTCGAGGTGATGTTGTCCCGTCGAGCTGTTGCCATGGCGCAGCAGGCACGTTCCGGTCGCGTCGACTGCGTTGGCTCATCGAAGGGCCTGTTCTTTGGTCTGTTGCTGTTGGTTGGCGCGCTGATTTGCTTGATACTCTTCTTCGTCTTGGTGCGTCATCAGCAGTTCTCGCTGTTGGCCATTTACCTGGCCGATGCCAGTCACTGCATTCTAATGGCTTTTGCCATACTCGCTATCATTATCGGTTTTATCAGGTGCGTTCCCAGACATCAAACGTTCATTTCCCATTCAAACCATATTTGTATATACTGAACCGTTTCCGATTTATACTTCCTATCTCTGACAGGGTCAAGAACTTGAAATTCCGCTGCGAGGAGCAATCGAATCTAAATGACATTTTGCTGCGCATCTCGGCCTTTGGCCTGTTCACCTATTCCGTGTTCAGCATCATTGCCGGCAGTATCAAGGTACTGGAGAGCGAGCCCAGCCTCTTGGTAACGACCACGGGCGGCGTTGCCGTCTTCCAGGTCATTTTGCAGCTGCTCTTCATAGCCGATGTATCGCGCCGTCGCGTCCACTTGCCGGAGCATGATCGCAGCAAGCCCGGCCGCCAGATTGTCACCTTCCTACTCATCTGTAATGTGGCCATGTTCGCCATCTACACATTCGAAGCTCAAAAAGTATTCGCCAATCCTGTAAGTAGATATGTACGTAAGCGAGACTGAGTTAAGTAAGACGATTAACGTTCTCGTTCGTTCTACTCGTTCTATTCGTTGTCTGTTATTCAATTTCGTACTTATAACCATCAATTGTATATATGTGTGGGCGCGTCTTTTTATGTTCCTGTTAAAGTCCATGTCGGCTGTTCAATTTGATAATAACCAGGGTTGCATGTCGGCTTTGAGCTGGTATAGTTCAAATTACTTTTCTCCACAAAACGAAAACACACTAGTTGATGAAAGAACTGTCAAATCGATGCACAAACTTTGTATACAGACCATCTTTGCTTTGTTCTTACAGCCCTGACAGAGACTTAAGAAAACGCGTCCAACTTGTATTTAAATTCATATCAGAGTTGTTGTAATTACGTTTTGCCATACGATTACAATTGCTAAGCTATAATAGCTTCCACCTGGAGCAATAATAATAATACATTTCAAATATTTAAAGGAATTAAAAGTTAAAATTAAAAACAAGTTCGCAGCTCTGATTCGAATGCATGTTTGAATCTTTTGTCAATCGACAACAATATACGATATGATTGCCTTTCCGATGATGAATAAATTGACTTCATCTAGGAAAATGGCGAATATTTTCATTTTCTTTCAAGAATTATATAGCTATTGACTTTGATGCATGCTGTTATTTGGAATAGTCTATGCTCTAGTTAACTATCTGCTAACTAACTAATGTAACTTTCTTGTGAACAAATACAAAACAGGTGCAACTGGAGTTCTATGGCTTTGTGCCCTGGTCCATCATACAGCGCATAACACTGCCCCTGTGCATTTTCCATCGTTTCCACAGCGCTGTAACACTTGCCGAGATCTGGAAGACCACCTACAAGGCGCGTTTGGAATAAGCTGTTGCAACAATGCAAAACGAACGAGTTTACAAAATGCACCAAAACATAAACAAAAAGTAATAACAAAAAAAAAAAAAAAAAAATACGAAATGAAAGTAAAAGAAAAACAGCAACAAAAATTATAGCGAACCGAAACGCAAAGAACGTAAATTTAATGTTAGTTTCTTATTGCATATATAATATATATACATATATATATATATATATATGTTTTTAGTTACGCGTACGTAAAGGTTAACTAAGTTCAAAAACCAAATAACAAAACAGAACAAAGCTAACCCAAAAAAAGTGTATTTGAATATATATGAAAAAGAAAAACATTTAGAAAGTGCAACAAAAATGCGAGTTGCATCAATGTGAGCTAAAGCCCAAAGCAAGAAATTGGTCCAATGTGCGTCGTTAACGAAGGCATAAACCAAACTTTAGAGCGTACATTAAAATGTTGAAACCAAACGTTTAATGCTAAATACCAAAAGTTTAAACAACTAGCAATCATCACATGCAAAAAGAAAAACGAGTAGAGAATTCTTTGGATGAAATTTAACAGAATTGTTGACAAATTGAGCATATGTCAGAGAACGCTTTGCGAATCGCTTGTTGTTTTATAATTTTTTTTTTTTATACATATATATATATATACATATTTATACATAGAATTTTGATTTGTGACATGTGAGCTGCAATCGCCAACATGGAAAACTTAAGAACTAAGTCATAGCGTTTACATTTCAAATGCATTTCCGAAAGCAAATGCAAACTAGTTGCAACATTTTTCTCTTCGCTTTTTTTTCTCATTTTAAAGAATAGGCGAAAAACGAAAAGTATTTAAAAATATGCAGCACATGATATGCTAATTATCAATTTAATTGTTTCTCTAAATGCATACAGACACATATTATTATTATTTCTGTCTAATTTGTGCATTATTATTATTATTATTATTATTATTATTGCTTAACTCGCTGCAATGTGTTTGTAACTAAAAGTTTTACTTTAAATATTTATATCAAAATGTTTTTGTTTTTATTTCCACTGCAAATCTATTAAAAATCATGTACAACTTAAGCAAAAAAAATGATTAAACTTATAAACAAAAAGGTTGTTTACTTTTCGCTTTGCAGCTGAGTACACGAGTGCTCAAACAAATATATACTTTAACACAGCTCGACAATTAATTCAGAAGCTGCCGCGCCGCAAAATATGCAGCGCTTTTCAGGCAGCATTAAGGATCACATACACAAACTGCGCAGGTGTGTACCTATCTATATATTTATAGATATATGGGTCACAATACCTGTACATATTTGGAATGCCACGAAATGTGTTGTTGTAAGACGCGAGCACTGAAGAATGCATAATTCATGAAACACATTTTGCGCAGGCTTTCGATTTCCCTTCACCCTAAACAACAGCCGAAGACAAACACTAACAACAACAACAAACTGTGATGAATTATATTGTTTATTGACTTTGGATACCAATTAATTTATCAGTTGCATTACATTATTTACGACATTTTACCACAGAAATTCACAAAAGTAAAAAAAAATGCGTTCAACCAAACTTCGTGGCCAATTGTAAAACACCACAAAGGCTAAGAGATCAACAAGAAAATTATGTTGTGGCAGCAAAAAGCCAAACAAGGAAGAAAATCATTTTTAATATTTATATGTATACATATGTATATACATATATATATATATATATAAATATATATATATATTATATACATATATATATATATATATATATATATAAATATATATTTAAATAAAAGTTTATAAATGTCCATTTTTTGATTATTAGTAGTGATGTTAAATGCGAAACAAAAACTTAATAGTAATTATAATAATTTAATTTGTATGTAATAGCTCTCAAAGTAAGCAAAACAAACAATGAGATTGTCGCATGTGGTTCGCCAGAAAACTTCTTGAATTCCCAAACAATGAAACGCATTTAGGAAATGATAGAAAAACGTTTACAATTACAAGCTAAGAACCATTTTTAAAGATGTGCAACGTATATCTTTAAATATATGTATACTAACCCACCAAATTCAAAGTATTTCAAAGTTTTATATGAAAATAAACGCGTATAGAGGGCGGCAAACACGATGCATCCCGCCGCCCCGTCCCTCAACAAAATATAGCAACAACTTTAACTACTTATAACACCAAGAAAATTGAAAAAAAAAAAAATGGCTCAAAATTGGCAACAAAATACGGGATTACCAGTTGCCAAAGACCAAAAGAAAAAAAAAAACCGAAATAAAAAAATAAAAAATATAAAAGGATACTTCCTACTCGAAAGGAAGACATCAAATTTTGAGCTCATACGTTGCAAGTACATAGCGAGTACATAATATAGCCAGTGTGTGCATGTTTTTTGTTGGCAATTTATATACACTGCCGTCTCTTGTACTGTACGAGTATATATATACATCTCTCTCTCTATATATATATATATATATATATAAATTTCACGCATAGCTATATATACGTGGACAAGTATTATGCATGTGGCGTTGCGCGATACGTGATCAAAGCAATCCAAGTTCAGATACAAATCAGAAATCCAATCCTTGATACCCAAACGGAATACGTATATTTACGCACTTTCGTACTCGTCAATAGAGTTATATAATACGTATTATACACGAAAAAGAAAAGAAAAAAAAAACCACTAAAATCTCAAAATAAAATCAAATATAACGTGTAGTCAAGTCGTAAGTAGTTCAGTCGGTCGACTCTTTTTCATCTACGAGTGTGCAGTTATTTATGGATTATACTTAAGCATTTCAATGGCGAATCAAATTCAGTTAAACATGTACTTGTGTAGCTTTTAGTATAAATATTCAATAAATATACATTCATATAATTGATAAGCAGTGAATGAAGAAGACAGACATAGAGATCGCGAGCGAGATCGGGATGCGAGAAGCAAATCGAAAGGAATGGAAAAGGGAATCATGAATACAAATATATATATATGCGTATATCTAATTGTTTTTTCTTAAAATATTTAGTTTAACATAAGATCATATTTTATGTATTTTTAATAACTACAACATAAATTATTGAATGTTTCAACTAAGTTGTATATTTATAAGTGACATTAACAAAGAACGCGTCTAGACATAATGGAATTATGTATCTGTATTTAAAAGAAAACCAAAAACAAAAACAAACGCATGAAAAGATCGCTTCATGGATAACCGCACAACTAACAACAACTACATATAGTTCATGGAAAACTTAACGCACAAGCAAAAAGAAACCCAAAACAACAAATTATTATATGAAATCAGAAAGATTAATAAATACATAGAAGAATTAAAGCATTCAAATATCTATACAAATATGAGTATATACATATATATAGAAAAAGTATATATGTATATATATATATATATATATATATATATATATATATATATATATATATGTACTTGCATATGCGTGTATAAGTACATATAAAGATTTCAGTAAGTAAAACTACAAAAGAAAAAAAACAAAAAAATTGAAATAAATCAATACAAACATATAAATATATATATACATATATATACAAAAACAAAATGGAAGCATTAAGCGAAATTTACATGCATTTAATATACATTTTCCCATAACCATTAACTAGAAATAAATACATAATTACAAAATAATACAGCAAATATTTATAATAATATCAACAACAAAATGAAAACGAACGAGAATGAATTTTGCGGAGCTATGACCCAACAAATGTTGTAAGCAATTTTTAAATCATTGTCGCATTTTAGATACCAAATTGTTTCCGAGCGCGAATAACTTTCGTTCCAACACGAGTACACACACACACTCACTTATTCACAAGGCTCATGGCTCTATGTTCAGCGAGCAGCAGATCGCTTTGAGTGCAGCACACACATCCACCGCACACACACACAAACACACCCACATCTATACCCAAATACACACACATGAATAAATTACATACGAACGAAAACATTGATGGTACACAAAAAAAAAAAAAGCATAAAAGTAATTTTAAATTGAATAAAATTAGTATTAAATATGTACAACAATGCCTAATGTGTTTCATATGGGTTGTGGGCATGGTTCGACCTAATTAGAAAGCTGATTAATCAGTTGATACCATATTTAATCTATGCTAATTCAAGTTATATGTATATATATATGCATATCCTAAAACTCAAGACTATCTTTATTACGCACAAGGCAGAGCCCAATTTCCACCATTATTTGTGAAATTTTGTGAAAATTGCATCCGACTTATCGACATCAGAGGAAACCTTAACCCAAGCCCACCCATTTTCCACTCAGTAGCGTGACTATCGGCAAAGGTAAAATTCGATCCAAAAGAAATATCGTACAGGCCGTATGAATTAACAAAAATCTTATTTAAGGAAATGCCAAACAAGTATCAAGAGATTTGTAATCAATTTAAAACACATACCTTTGATTAGAATAAAGCCACGAGCATGCCTTGATCCTATTTCCAAATTGATTTGAATTTTAGATATTGAATTTGTTTATCATTTTTATTTTGGTCTCCACGTTTCACGCATTGCCCTTTAAATCATTGTCACGCACGCATTACTCCCTCAGCGTTTTCTTTCAGCCAGACAGTCGTAGGATGCGACTGTCAATGACCACCAGGACGTGGTCACAATGTGGCGTTACCGCCGACAGCTTTTTGCACCATTATATCACATGGTTGACAATATGGTAGCCAGAAAAGTGGCGAACTTTCACATTTTTAGAGCTAGGAAACGACGCCTATTTGCTGTCTGCGTTTTCAGATTGGGCATATAGAACCAAGTATTACTGAAAATGAGCCTCAGGGTCATCGTCGAGTTCAACGACGCCACCAAGGGATAGCAGATGTTGCTTGTCAATAGTATTGAGCGAGGAGCGGGTCATGGATCAACCATAAACAGCACAGTTGATCAAAATACCTGAAAGAATGCAAAAAGTGAGATAGTATCTTTATAAAAGTGAAAGTGATAAAATGCTAGATAGTTGTTGCTTACACATATCAATCTGAGGTATAGAGC